TTTTACATATTTATAAAGAAGATATTTTTTTATTTACAAATAATTATTTAAAAACTTTAAAAAATTTTGTATAATTATTTTGACTTTGTCAATGCAACTAATTCATATTACTTGCTTTACTTTAAAAAAAACAAGATATTCTCAATAGTAATAATATTATAAAAAATAATAATTTTTAATATTTAAATGCTGAGAGTTAATTAGATTAGGAAGATTTTTTTTGAAGAATAAATGAACTTAGCATATTAGTATTTTTAAGGCATAAAATTACAAAAAATTGTAAAAGTTTTTGAAAATAATTAAAAAATTTTAGATGTATATATTAATGAATAAGGAAATTAATAAAAAAATATTTATTTACAAAAGTAAATATAAAGTAAAATTCTTTAATAAAATTAATTAATTAATGAAGAAATATAAAATTCTTTAATTAATTATTTAAATATAAAAAACAGTGTAATTTGAAAAAAATAATGAAAATTAAGATAAATATTTTTTAAATAATATTATTTCATGTATCATTTATAAATAATTAAAAAATTTAAATATTATAAAAATTATATAAATGATTGAAATAAAGAAATTAATAAATAATATCAGTATGATTATATTTAAAATATAAATATTTATATTATTATATTTATAATATAATTTTATTTAAAAATAAATATAATTTGCTTAATTTAATTAGATAAAAATGAAAAATAAACTTATAATTAATACACAAAAAAAATAAAAAAATAATATTTGAATAATAAAAGTAATATAAAATAATAATATATATATCAATATTATAAGAAAATATTTATTACATATTTATCAACATTTAATGTTAAAAATAACAAAATTAAAAAAATAAAAAAAAATAAATTCAAATATAAGACTTTTAAATTTTTTGATTATGTTTTAAAAAAAATAAAAAAAATATAAACTTTAATATAAATTTATATATATATAAAAATATATATATATTATTATATAATTATATTTATATAATTTTAGATATTATATTATTTATTCTTTTGTATATTTTTTTTTTTTTTATAAGTTTTTTTTTTAATTTACTTTATAATATTTTTTTTTAGTATTTATCTAATATATTTAATTATATATTGTTTATAACTAAATTATATGAATATTTTCAATTAATAATTTTATCAAAATTTATTTGCAATTTTTTATATCTTGTATTCATTTTTATATTATATTATTTTATTTTAAATTAACTCTTCTAAATTTTTGTCTTATTATTCCTTTTTTAGAATTATTACAATAAATTTATTCATTTTAATAACTATATTTTTTATATAATTATAAACAATTTAATTTAGAATTTTAACTATTACAACTTCTAAACATTTTTTGACCAATCTCACGTAAAATTGTTATTTTTTTTAATTGGATCTTCTTTAAAAGTCTAGTGATTAAAAGCATAGATGCTTCAATAATTTCTTTAAGTATTCTTTTTATTATCATGATTATATCCAATTTTATTCAATATAACATAGATAATTTATAGTTATTCTTATAGTCTATGCCTCTTCTACTTTTTAAAGAATACGTTAGTCATTATATGAATTTTCCATTTTTTCGTAATTTTATAACAGTTTATTATAGTGATTTTGTAATTATTTACTTTCCTTGCCGCAATACAGGTGATAACTGGTTAATTTAACTATATTTAAAATAAATTTATATAATTTTTTAAGCATTTATTTTTAATTTTTATTTTATTTAAGGATTATAATAATTTTTAAATACATTTTATTTTGAATAATTTTTTTTTATATATATTTATTTCATCCTTAATTTTTAAATTAAATATTTATTTTTTATGGTATTAGTATATATTTTTTTTATATAAAATTAGAAACGTGAAATTTTTATTTTTTATATTTAAATTGACGAAAATAAATAAAAATAAAAATATAATAGTTTATTATAATTTTTTTATTTTTATGTTTAATAAAAATATATGTTTTTTGGATATAAAATATATATCTAATTTTAAAATTATATTTAATTAAAATATTTTTCAAAAATAAAATTTCTTATAGTATATATTTAATTTATTTTTATTGCTATAACAAAAATTAGTAAATTTAAACACATAAATTATATTTTTTTGAAATTAATTAACATAAAAAAAAATAATATATATACATTATTTAAATAGTTAATAAAATAAACTATTGTTTTTTTTAATTAAATATATATTTTATAGTAAAGAATAAAATTATTTATATTATAATCTCTTATATTAATTTATTTTTTTATTCTATTTAATTTATTTATTATAAAATTATTGATTTTTTATTAAAATTATTTAATTTATCAAAATAATAATTGATAATATAATTTTTTTATTAAATAAAAATATATATATTTTTTAAAAAAATAATAATATTTTCTTATTATAATAATTTATAAATTAAGAATAATAATAGAAAATATAAAATTATATTTTATTTTTTTACTTTTATATTATTTAAATTTAAAGTTTTTATAATAAATATATATTTATTTTTAACAAATATTTTATATATTTTTGATATATAAACAAGATGATATTAGTATTTCTTAGTCACCCAAATATAATTCTATAATATTTTCGAATTCTGATTAATCATTTTCATTATTATCCAATATAACGTTTTTAAATACTTGAAAACCATTTTATGTTCTAAAGTGTCAATATATTTAGTAATCATGTTATTTTATTCGCCTATGTTTGTTTTTAAATAAAGAACCATCTGTTTATAATGTAATAACCTTTCAAAAAAAATGCTAACAATTTCTGCTACAGTTGATAATAAAAGAAATATTATTATTACAGCAATAGTGCGACAGAATTTAAATATTGTAATTAATCGCGACAATACACATAATGTAATTAAGGTTTAATTAAAGATTATAAAACTAAAATATGCTTTTGATGTATTTAAAATACAGTTATTGTATTATATGTAATGAAAATAAATACACTAAGTTGTTTTTTTGGATATAAATATAATGATAAATCAAAATAATACACTAAAATCCAGTTTTCTTGATTTTTAATTTAGGATTAAGGTGATAATTAATAATAGAATAATTGTTAAGCAGTGTTTACTTTTTTATTGGTTATATTATATTTGGATTATTATTGTGATAATTTTGAAATAAAGTAAACGAAAATTTATTTGTAATTAATTATTATAAAATATTTTTTTTATTTGTTTAATATGTTTTATTATACATTTTTATTTTTTACAAATTTAAAATTAATTATTGAAATTTAATTATTGTATAATTAAAATTATTATTCTTTATTAAAAAATTTTAGAGAGTTAAAATTATTTTGTGAAAAATTAATTTTATATTGTATAATTTTAAAAATATAAAATCTGTAATCTTTAATTTTTTATTGATAATTTATAAAAAAAAACATTATCTAAAAGAAAAGAAAAATTGCTTTGATTAAAATTAAAAAATATTAGATTTTTAAAAATTTCTTTGTATTAATTAAAAATTTTTATTTTAGAAATCTTTTTATATGTTTAATTTCAATAATAATAATTTATAAACTTAAATTTTATACTTAAATATTTTATTATTATTATAATATTTGAAGTAAAAATATTTATTTTGTATTATTTATTAATTTTTTTCATTAAAAAATACTTTCATATCTTTTTCTTCATTTATGTAAAATTATTCTAAAATTATAATTTCTAAAAAAATAAATGAAAATAAATATGAATATTTTAATTATTTGTAATTTTATCATAAGATTTTAAAAATTTTTATTTATTTTGAAATATATTTTATATAATTTTAAATTATATATATTTATTATATTAAATTTTATATTTATTAAAATTATATAATAAATAAATAATAACTATACATATTTTTATATATATTTACATTATATATTTTTATTAAAAGTATTATATTTTTTAAATATTTCATATATTATTTAATTTATTATTATTTGTAATTTTATTTTATTTATTGATTAAAAAGTTATCTAATCTTAAATTAATTTTTAATTTTATAATATAATAAAATATTAATAATAATAGTATTTTATAATAATAAAATATAATTTTTTAATTTATCCTTTTCATTATATAATTTAATTATATTAATAAAAAATCTTTTTTTTATTATTATATTTTTAATAATAATTAAATTTATATTTTTGAATTTTAATAAAAGTATAATAAACTCTTTTTATTTATAATTAGATTATTTAATTATAAAAAATATATATTTAATTGTTAATTAATAATAAAATATGATTTTTCAAATTATAATTATTAATTATTATTTTGTTTGTTTGTTTTTATATTAATATTTAAAATATATTATATAAAATAAATTATATATATTTTTAAATATTGTTAATTTAATTTATTTTTTTTATATTTTATTTATAGAAAATCATTTAATTTTATAAATTTATTTTTAAATTTGTGATTTAATATCAATTATTTATTATAATAATTTTTATATTTCATTGTATTCTAAAAATTCCATAATTTTAGTAATATAATAATTAAATACTTAATAAACTAAATATTATATTTTGATTATCATATTTTTTTTAAAAGCGTTTATCATTTGTGTAATCAAGAAAGTTTTTAATTTATTATCATTAATTTAATTTATATATATATTTTTAAATCATTTTTTTTTCTTTAAATATATAAATTAAAAAATATTTAATAATAATACCATATAAAAATATATATTAAATATTACAATTTAAAATTATTATCTAATTATATAAATGAATGTTTATGTAATATTATATATAAAATTTAATACAAATTATAAAATCAGAATTAAAAATAATAATAATAAAAATATGCTTCAATAATTAATTTTAATTAGTTTCATAATTATAGTTACATTAACCAGTACTCACCGCAATTGCGGCCACGAAAGTAAATAATTACAAGATCACTATGACAAATTGTTAGAAAATTACCAAAAAATGGAAAATTCATATCATGGCTAACGTATTCTTTAAAAAGCAGAAGAGGCAAAGCCTATAAGAATAACTATAGATTATTCTATGTTAGATTAAATAAAATTGGGTATAACCCGATAATAAAAAGAATACTTAAAAGAAATTATGGAAGCATCTAAGCTTTTTTTCACAAGACTTTTAAAAGTATATCCAATTAAAAAAAAATAACATTTTTCCTAAAAATTTTTTAAAAAAATGTTATGAAGTTGATATTCCTGATAAAGATTAAAAAGATGGTATTGCTAATTCTGATTTACACTTATACATAGTTTATTATAAAGAAAAAAATGGAGAACTTGCAGATGCTGTTTTTTGTGCAGTTGCTGATCAAGGAATAACTAGACCTACATTTGGACGTGTTAATTTTAACATATAAAAAATGGATATCATTGAGGGAGATATGAAAACTTTTCAAAATGATTTGGAAACTACTATTCATGAAATTATGCATATAATTGGCTTTTCAACACATATAATGTAATATTGGATAGATCCTGAAACTAATAAACCATATAAAGAAAGCTTTTAATAAAAATTATTAAAAGAAAAAACTTACTAAGGAAAACAATCTTTTATTTTAACTTCCAAAAATGTAATTGAAGTTACTAGAAAATATTATAATTGTCCAAAAGCTGAAGGAATGTATCTAGAAAATTAAGTAATTTATATATATGTAAATGTAAATATATATAAATATGTATTTAAATATATTTATATTTATTTTTCTAAATAAATTAGGGTGTTATAGGAAAAATAGGTTCGCATTGGAAAAGAACTCTTATTTATAATGAATTAATGACTGAATCTTCAATATTAGTTAAATCTTCTATTTCTATATTTACAATTGCTCTTTTAAAAGACACAGGTTTTTATGCTGAAGTAAATGGAAATATGGCTGGTTAGATATTTTGGGGAAAAGGAAAAGGTTGTGAATTCTTAGAAAACGTTTGTTAAAGTAAAACTGAATACCCTGAATTTCCTTAAAAAGTGGATGATTTTTAATGTTCATTTGAATACGAAGGATTCGCTTATTCCGAAACTAACAAATACGCAGACAATTGTAGAATGGAATAACCTGAAATAGAAGATCTATGTACAAATCCTAATGCTATAGATGATGAAGAAGATTTAGAAATGGAAGAGGATAAATTATCTGATTATTCAACTCAAAGTAAATGCTTCTAATCTACAGCTGTTTAAGCCTCATCTAAGTATGAATATGATATTTCTGTAAGATGTCATAAATTTAAATGTTCCTCTGATGCATCTGAAATATCTGTTATTTTCCCCGATATTTAATTATAAGTATTATGTGGAATAGGAGAATAAGGTAAATAAAAGGATATTGATAAAAGTGGTAAAAAAGCCAAAGGTTAAATCACATGTCCTTAAGATTATAATAGATTCTGTAATAATTCCCGTATATGTCCGAATTTCTGTTCCTAAAAAGGAGTCTGTGTAAACGGATAATGTATATGCTAATCTGGATATGGAGGGGAAAATTGTATTACAAAATGCTCCGGAGTAGTCAATGATGGAAAGTGTATATAATAAGGCTTTTGTCCTTCAGGTAAATTCAAGAACCCAGATAATACTTGCAAATCAGATTGTCCTTAAGGCCTATATGGAAAGAATGGTAATTGCGAACCATGCCATAGCAGTTGCTCTAGATGTACAGGACCATTACCTAATCAGTGTAGTAAGTGTTAATTTTTGACATTATTGCAAGATAATTAATGTGTAGATAAATGTAATGAGAAACAAGGATATAAACTTAATTAAGCTTAGGGTATATGCGAGTCTTAGATATCCACAATATGTTAAGGAAATTGCAAAACTTGTGAAAAAAAAATTCTCCTTTATGTATCACTTGCAAATAAGGATATTTAAAATAAGCTGATAATTCGTGCTAAAATACATGTGCTATGGGATCTAAGTTAACTTAAGATTCTTAATAATGTGTAAAACCTTTAGTTGGATGTCTTTAATAAAAAGATTCTAATACTTGTATTACATGTGATACTGTTAAAGGATATAGATTAGGTTCAGATAAATAATTTACAATTTGCAAGGAAAATTGTTCATAATGTAATCCTAAGAATCCATCTGAGTGTCTTGTTTGCGAAGGACTTAAATTTAAAACTCATAATAGTAGTTGTGTAAATTAATGCCCTGGTGATAGTTTTTATTCTGAGAGTATTGGAAAATGCTAATAATGTCCTAAAAATTGTTAAAATTGTAATGATAATGGTTGCAAAAAATGTTAAAATGGTTTCTATATAGATTCAAAAACTAAAGCTTGTACTTAATGTCTTTCTAAATAAATTAATTGTCAAAATTGTGATGATCCCATCTGTTTATAATGTAATGATATTTAAAAAAAAAAATGCAAATTTCTGCTTAAGATGGAAATTTAGGAAGTGGAAATACTGTAATTAATGGAATTAATATAATAAAATGCCCGACAGGGTGTAAATAATGTAATTAATCTAAAGAATGCTTATAATGTAATTAAGGTTTTATTATGGAAAATAAAACAAAAAAATGTATTACATGTATTTAAAAATACGGTAAATGTATAGCATGTACGGAAACAAAATGCACTACTTGTTTTTCTGAACATAAATATAATGAAAAATCATAATAATGTATTAAAATCGATTCCACTAGAAAATTATTTTAAATTTAAGGCGATGTTTAATAATAAAATAATTATTAAGGCGTCTTTGTATTTTTTATTAGTTATTTTATGTTTGGATTTTTATTGTGATGATTTTGAAATAAAGTAAATGTAACTTTATTTTATAATTAATTATTTTTAAATATTTTTTTATTTAGTATTTAATAAATTTCATTTATTTTTTTATTTGTTATATTTTTTTATTTATTTTTTACAAATATAAATTTATAAATTGAATATTGATATTAATAAATAATAAGTTTTTTAAAAATACATAATTTTATAACTTAATTTAATATTTTTATTAAAAATTAAACAGTAAGTTAAAAATTTATAATCTTATAATTAAATAAAGAGTATTTAAAAAAAATATAAATATAATTAATTACATATATTATTTTAATTAATATAAATAACATTTATCAAAAAAAAATTCTGTATTTTTTTTTAAAAAGAATTGATAAGTATTTTTATAATAATAATTAAAGAAATTAACTATAAAAATATTTTTATTAATAAATATTTTTAATAATTTAATAATTAAATATTATTAATTTTAATTATAAGTCTTTTTTATTAATTTCATATATTATACTTTAAGACAATAATTTTTTTATTCATTTTTTTCTTATAAAATTATATATTTAAAATATTTTTACTATTTTTTTTTTTAATAATTTTATTTTGGTTTATACTTATTTATTAGTTTTAAATAATAAATTAGAATATTATTAAATATTAAATTAACATAATGAAAATTTTTGAAATTAAAAAAACTTTTAAAGCTTAAAATTAAAAATTTTCAATATTTCTATATTATAAAAAATTATTTTTTTATTTATTTTATTCTTAATTAAAATAAAATTATGTAAATAATTATTTTTATTTTGTTCATTTTAATAATTTGTTCCTCTGCCAACAATATATTTAGAAATATATATTTTTTAAGAAAAATAATACATTTTAATTTATAATATTTTAATCATTGTTATACAATAAAAAAAATAACATTAATTTATAATAAAAAAAAAAAAAAAAAAATAATCTTGTATATATTATAAATTTAATTTAAATAATAATATATATATATATATATATATATATGTATATATATTTTCCATTTACGAAAATTGATTAAATATATATATTAGATATTAAATTTACATACAAATACTAACAATCATTATTTTAATATTATTACTAATATATATAAAGTAATTTAATATATATGATTTTATATTTAATAATTTTATTTAATTATAATAATTAAAATAATTTCCAAAAATATAATGTTTGTTTGTATTCAAGTCAAAATTTACATTATAAATTAATTATTTAAAGAAAACTTAAGAAACTTCAAATAAATTAAAAATAAATATTAAAAAATTAAAAACTAAGAAAATTAAAATTATTAAACGGTGTTTAATATAAACAACTTAAAAAAATAACCTAAATGCTAATTAACTATATTATGTTTGGAAATAAATAAATAGAATTAATATTTTTTAAGTAATAATATTAGAATAAAAAAAATGAAAGTAACTATAATAAAAATAAATAAAATTTTGTTTATAAATTTATTGAAATTTAATAATTAATTACAAAATATTATTTAGAATTGAATGATTATATAAATAAATAACACTTTTTAATAATAATTTTTATATTTGTTGGATTTTATTGAAATGATTTTTAAATAATTTAATAAAATTTTAGTAATGCAAAAAATATATTTTTTCATTAATTAATTATATAAATGATATTTTAAAAATAAGAAATATTTATCTGCCTTTAAAAATCATTATTATCTTTTTAAAACATGAAAAAAAAAAATATCTATAATAATATATATTAATTAAATAATTTTCATTTTATTTATATTTTTTTTTTCTAATAAATTCAATAAATTTATTTTTCTTTAAAAATTATAATAAACTCAACATTAAAATATGTAATAACAACTTTATATTTTTTAAATTTTAGTTATTTTATAAAATATATATAAAATAATAATATTAAAATTAATGGGTTCAGGAATGGCTAAATGTTATTTAATAAAATAAAAAAAAAAAAATAACCACATTTAAATGAAACAAACGATTTTGATTAAAAATCTATTTTAAAAAACGATTAAAATAATAAAACATAATTAATAATATATAAAGATGGTATTACATATAAAGGTAGTTTAGATGATTAAGGTAATAAAAATGGAATAGGGCTTATAGAATTTCCCAATGGTGATAAATATGAAGGATAGTTTAAAAATGATAAAAGGGAAGGTAAAGGAAAGTTAATATTTAAAAGTGGAGATATTTATGAGGGAGAATTTAGAGATGATAAAAGAAATGGGTTCGGTATTTATTTTTTTAAGAATGGTGATAGGTACGAAGGACAATATGTAAATGATAAAAGAAATGGGTTAGGGAAGATTTTTTTTAAAAATGGGAATTGGTATGAAGGGGAAATTAAGGATGGATAAAGAGATGGGAGAGGTGTTTTTCATTTTATTAATGGTGATAGATATGAAGGAGAATATAAAAATAATAAAAGGGAAAAATTCGGGACTACTTATTTTGCAAACGGAGATAAATATGTAGGAGATCATTTTCAAAGTAAAAGAACTGGGAAAGGTATTTTATATTATAATAATGGCGATAGATATTAAGGGGATTTTATTGATGGAGAAATAAAAGGAAACGGGATTATGTTTTATGCTAACGGTTAATAAAAATATTTTGATAATTGAATTTTTTTTATTAATAAATATTTATAGGTTATAAATAAATATTTAGTTTGTACATATATAAATATTTTTTTTTATATATAATTTTTATATTGTTATTATTTTTTTTTTATTCATTTAATTTTATTATTATTATTTTGAATAAATAATAATTTTTTTATTTCAATTTTTTAGTTGATTATTTATTAATTATTATACATTTTTTAAAAGTACCAAGTTAGATTTTTTTATTTATATTTGAGATTTTTATGTTTATTTTTAATTATTTTTTAGTATTTAAATTTATATCTATTCTTGATTTATATTTTTTTATACTTTTTAAGAACAATTATCACTTTTTAATTATTAAATATATTTTTTGTTTAAAAATTATAATAATAAATTTACATGCTTTTTTAAAGATAATTTTTTTATTTTTCATTATTGGTTTAATAATATTGACTTGAATTATTTATACTAACTGAATTATATTATGAATTAATTAATTCACTTTCAGCTACTTATTGTTTTGAATTTTATTATTGATTATAAATAATATCATTAACCTAATTTAAAGTTTAATAATACAAAGATTTATATTTATGAAGTTAATATAATAATTTCTTCATGTCTTTTAATAGTGCTTCTTATTCCTATTATTTAGCTTAAATTATTACTTTTAAGTTATTTTTATTAGATTAATCTAATTTTTGAATTAGTTTATATGTATTTTTGTAAATCATGCTTTCTTTAATTTTTATTTCTTAAAATATTAATTATTAGTTTAAATTTTAATTATATTTATTTGAATCATTTAACATATTTACTTGTTTTTTTTTAAAAAAAAAAATGTTTTATTTTTGAAAAAAAACATTTTTTATTTAATTTTTTTTTACAATTTTACAATTATATAATTAGTTTTTTCCTTTTCAAGATGATTATTTTCTCATTTATTTATTTAAAATTTTTTAATTACTTTCATTTTAACTTAAATAACTTAAATTTAAGCTATTGTATTATTTGGATTTTTATAATGATAATTCTTCTAATAATTAACTTCTACTTTTAAATTATTTATTTTCGAATAATTTTCTTTTGCTTTTATTTTCATTATTATAATAATCAATACTGTAACTATTAATATGATAAATTTATTCGTATTATTCTTCATTTTGTTAACTTATTGGCTACGAAAATTTTATTTGGGGTCTAATTTATTAGATTTTATTTTTATTTTGCCTTATTAAAAAGCATTCGAAATCATATTGCTTCTCTTAAGATTTAATTAGTTGTTTTTTAATCATTTTAAATATAAAATATTTCTTTTAATAATATATTTCTAAATAACGAATTTTTTTTATTCAATATTAATTCAAAAAACAAAAACAAAATCAAAATATTAAGGATATTTATATATATTTTTTATTTAAAAAATATATTTTTTTAAACATAAAAAAATTATTTATTAATTAAATAAAATTATTTTAATAAAAAAATAAGAAAATTGACTATTATTTATATATAAATAGTATAATATTTTATGATTATTATATTTTTTATGATTAATTTAATCTAAACTATATTATTTTTTCATAAATTCGATTTAGATTATTTAAAATGTTTAAATATATTTCATTTTTTATATTAAAAATGTGTATTGTAAATTATTTATATTATATTTATGCTATATAATTTATTCAAGAATATTTTTTAAATTTAAATAATTAAAAACAAAAAAAAACATGAATTCGAAAGCAGAATCATAATATAAATAAAGAAACGAAATCCAAATATAATTTTTAATAAAAAAATTAATCACTTTATTATCTTCATTTAATGTAATTAAAAATATATGTAAATCCAAAAATAAAAAAATAGGAAAGTTAAGATAATTTTGATATAAAATATTAATTTATTTATTCAAATTTAAAAAATCATAAATATTTATCAACAAATAAATTTAAAGTATTAAGAGAAATAGAAGGGTAAATATAAATAAAATAAAAAAACCATATGTTTATTAATATAAGATTAAAAGAAAAATTAATAATTCATTCATAAGAATTAAAAGCATAAAAATTAGGAAATTTAATAGATAAATTTTAAAAAATAAAATTAAAATAAGAAAACCCTGAAGTAAACTATTCAATTTTATAATTTTTACTTTTAATGTCAAACAATCCTATATAAGGATTATATAGCAGTTATTAAGATATTAATTAACAATAATAAATATAATAAATAAACTAAAAATATTAAAATATAAATTAATAATAATAAAAATAATATGATGAAGATTGGCATTTCGAAACTTCAACAGAAGAGGAAGAATATGAAGATGATGAAGAAAATTAAGATGAATATGAAGATGAACATGAACATCAAGATAAAATAAATAAAAATGATAAATAAGTTAAGATATAAAAAGAAGAAATAATTTAAAGAGATAAAAAATCTTAAGAAAATTAATAATAATAATAATAATAATAATAATAATAATTATCTTAAAACTATATTTCAGAAAACAAAAATAATAATTCTTATAATTAAACTTTATTTTAAAATCGAACTATTATAAATTTAACTCTTTTGAATAAATCAGCTTTACAAAAGCGTTCTTTTGATTAATTTTTACTAAACTATGAATAAAATAATAACTAAAATTAATTTAATAGTATTCCTTAAAAAATATACTAAAATTCCGAATATTTCAAAGAACCAAATTCTATATCATAAATTTTTGAATAACACTTAAAATAAGATTTATGTTTACATCATAATATTTATACGATCAAAAGCGAAAGGTAAATAATATAGGACATATTACTAACTTTACAAGGTTTTGCGAACCAAACATTCTCTTTTGATGAATAAAAAATGACTTTTTAATTAATAAAAAAGGTACAAGTAGCACATTTAAGCCCTTTTGCATTAGAAAAAATGATTTTTTACTGTCTATAGTTCGCCAATTAGTCTGTCAAGATGAAATTTGTAAAAAAAATGTTTAAAAATGAAAATATATCGCTTGTTCTCATGTCCTTTTTATCAAAATTGGAAACTTTTTTTGATGATTTTTAAAAGTTTGTGGATAATATTTATTTGGTATTTTTATTTTAATCTGGAGTAATAAGTTATAGTGAGATTTTATAATCTTTAAATGAGAATTTTAAATATTTAATTAACAAAACAATAACACTTATTGAAATTTATAAAAATTTAAAAAAATATTAAATGAAATTAAAAGAAGCTGAAAATTCACTTGATGAAATTTTATAAATTTCGAATAAAAAAATACTATAAGAGGAAAAAAATGCATTTATTTCTACAAAATTACTAGATTTTATTTATTTTTTAATAGATAATGAAAACTAATATTAAGAAAAATGCGAACTCTTTATTACTTGTGTGAGTCCTTATTTAAATATTGTCAATAATTGGCTTAATGGGAGCTTTTTTAAAGACTAATTTAATGAACTTTTTATTAAAAACAATAAAAAATAACTCACTGATCATAAAATTGAATGGATTAGTGAATTTACTATTAGAATGATTGATGTATTTTTTTTTAAATAATTTTTATTTTATTTTTTATAAATATAGGAATAATATATATGCCCAGTTTTTTTGAAAAACCATTAATAAACTATTCTTTAAATTGGAAAAAATGTAAGAGTAATTAGATATATATTAAATCAATATCATTTTAGTAGTAATATGAGTTAAAATGTAATTAATATTTTATGAAAAATATATACTATTATTATTTTTGTTTATTTTTGAAAAAATAACTTTTATATATATACTAAAAAAAAGCTTGATATTGATAATTTTAAAGAACAATTTGAGATTTTAGTTAAAGAAGAAATGTACAAAATATAAGAATATTGTTAAATATATAAATAAAAAAAAGAGAATTAATAAAATTAAGTTACTTAATAAAATAAAAAAATATTAAAAAATATGAAAATCTCAAGTATATTTTAAGAAAATTTTGAATAATTGCAAAATAATAAAATAAGCATTTAATAAGAAGATAACATTGATTAAGTTTTGGATAAAAAATATGATTAAAATAATATTTTTTACCTTTAAAATGATTAAATTACTGAAAAAACTTAAAAAATATAATCTGAATTAGAATAAAATAATTATAAAAGTTAAATTTAATAATACGAATATAATTATTAGTTTAAGAAAATTTTTGATTTATAATTAAAAAATATCATTGAAAAATTCGAAAATAATGTAAATTAAGTACTAGGAGAATTTTTTTTTGATAAATATGGATTATTATCTTATTTTTAAGTTTTTAGAGAAATTTATTTTATGGAAAATTCTTTTTTCTCTATTTAATTTTTAGAAAACTTTTTTAAAAATATAGAAAAATATGACATAAATAGCCATTTCTAAGAAAGTTTATAATTTTTAAAAACTAAAAAAGCCAATATTAGGAATTTATAAGAAATATTTTCCTTATAAATTGAAGAAAAGAAATCATTAATATAAATAAATTTTAATGTAAAATTATTAATATTTCCAATAATATATAATATGTAAATTTTAAAAAAATAAAGATAGAATATCCATTAAATATAATATTTAATTAAGAATCTTTATTTTTTTATAATCATATATTTAAATATTTACTTTTGTTAAAAAAAGCGTATTTTTCATTAACATATAAAAAGTAATTTATTATTTTTTTATTTATATCATTTATATAAAAATATAATAGTCATTATATAAAAAAAACTTCAAGGAAAGTTTTAAATGAAAATTAATTAATTTAAGATTAAAATGAGTTGAAATAATAAATGTGTATTCTTTAATATAAGATGTTAGATTTTTTAAATAAACTTTAATTTTAAACTTTTATTTTAATCATTTAATAAAATACAAATAAATTTCTATCCTAAATAAATAAATAATTAAACTTTTAGAAAATTATTGATTTACATATTGAATATTTAAAGTAAATTGCATAGGAGTGTTATTTGACCAAAAAAACATAAAATATTTATTAAATTATAGATAGCATTTTATAATGTGCTAATTAGTTTTATTATTTGGTTATTAGGATTGAAACTATCGAAAGTTTAGATGAAAACGTTTAAATCGGAGAAATAAAACGAATAGATGAAAGTTTAAAATAAGTTTAATTAAAGTTTTTTAATAATTAATAATTATTGTAGAATTAAATTAATAAAAATAAATATTATGAAGATAATTGTAAAATTATATTATATTATATTAACTTTTTCTATATATTTTTTTTTTAAATTAGGTTATATTTTTAATTGATAAAGAATATGAATTAAATATAAAAAATATAAAAAGGTAAATATATTAATAAAGTTTCGAATTTTTTGTTGTAACTATATATGTATAAATTATATTAAACAGAATTATTTTAATTAAAATATATCAATAATTATATTGTTTCTTTACATAAATATACTAACTATCAAATTGTATTTTTTAAAAAAATTATTAAAATAAAAAATACTTATATGCAACTATTTTAGTTTTTATAAATAATTATTTAAAACAATATTTATGTAAGATATTTTGTCTTTTTTTTTTTTTTCCTAATAAATTTATCTATTATTATTTATTTATTTTTAAGTTAGAAATTTTTATCTAAAGAATAATTTTTATTAATAATATAATTAAGGATTAATAGAAACTCATTTTTGTTTTTAATTATAATATTTTTTTTTTAATTAAAATATATTAATTTACTATTATTGTTTTTTGTGGGGAATAAATTTAGATTAAAAAAAAAATTAAAAAAATAAAAAGATAAAAAATGCAAAATTTAAATCAACAATTATTAAATAGAGCTTAAACCTAATTATAATAACTATAATAAAAATATTAATTAAAAAACAACGAGCAAAAAGGCAAAGAAATTTAAGATAATGAGTTTATAACTACTAAATATACTAATAGCTAGCAAAACAAATCTCTTCCAAAAAAGTAACAAGAAATAAACATTCACTAAATTAAAGATATTAATTCCGTTTAATAATAAATATATAAATTACCAAGGACTTAAATTGAAAAAATTAGTTTATCTCCAATAAATCTAATTAATTAATAATATACTCCAAATTAAAAAAGTAGGGTAAAATCACCTTTAAATAGAAACAATATAAGTACAGAAAAAGTATTAGATAATAACGTAGATAAATAGGAATCGGACTTAAATTTAAAGGGATAGAATAAAAATACGAAAGTACATACGAAATTATTTACTACTAAACCAAAAGTATTTGATACATAGGTAAAAGATAGAAATTAAATTAATTAAATAAATAAAATTGGATAGTAATAATGCTTCTTGTAAAGAAAAGTGAGATCTTCTTCGAAAAATACAGATTATAGCTAATAAAGTGAAAGAAGATAAAAAGAATAATTATAAAATACTGAATAAAAATTAAATTTAGAAAAAACATTAATATTGAATAAAAATTAATAATAATTTTAAATACAAAAAAATTAATAATAATAATAATAAAATTTCTGTGCCAAAACATACCAAAAACCTCCTATTGTTAAAAGAATTATTTTTTAATAAGGCCATATTGATAGGAAATCTCCTTCTTTACATAATGATAGATTATTTAATAAAAAAACTAATGATTCAAATGAAGAAATCACGTCGTTTAGATTGAAATCAATCGATAATATTAAAAAATTAGATAATAAATTTCAATAATAATAAATACATTTTAAATTTGTATAAAGATAAAGCTTAGATGGTAAGAATAAAAGAAGTAATATATAATAATTATCAATGAAAAAAATAGAGAATAAAAATCAAATAAATGATATGTAATGTTAATCTGAATAGAAATAAAAAATTTCCGGTTCTATTTCTTCTTAGAATAAAATTAGAATTTAAGAATCAAAAATTAAATAAGGAAGTAATATTTCTTAAGAAAAAAATTAATAGAAAGTAAAAAATTTAGAAAATAAAAATAACCCAAAAGAAGTTCTATAAAATTTAAATCATAGAATTAAAAATGACATGTAAACTTAAAAAAATCAAAAAATCAATATCGCACTTTTGGAAACCGAAAATAATAAAGAAATTAATGACATAGAAGATTAAAATAATGAAATATAAATAAATGGAATGGAAATTGTTGAAAAATAAGATATAGAAGATGCGGTTTGTACAGGTAGGTTTAATAGTGCTGGTGCTTAGTATGATAATTAAGAAATTGAAAATAATTTTTAAAAAAAATATATGCTAGAAACTAATTTAATAAAAAAAGATTAATTAAAGATTAATGAATAAATCAAAAATGATTTAAAAAAAGAAAAAAATCAAGAATATACTTTTTATGAAAATGAAAAAGAGTAAGAAGAAGATACTTTGGGAAACAAAGATATAATATTATTTACTTTTTAGAAAATAAATGAAAAACATTTATTAAATTTATAAAAAAGAGATTAAGAAAATGTTAATAATGAAGGTGATATTACTGTTTAAAAAATAAATTAAAATACTATTTTAGTAAACAATTCAAATACAACAGTTAAAAATAAGTAAGAAATTGGTCAAAGTTGTATAAGAAAAGGTTATTTGGAAAATAACAGTAGTTACATTAAATATAATAATGATAGTTTTGATAATTATGATAATAATAGTTTTAAAAATAATAATAGCTGTAATTATAGTAATAGTATTAACAATTATAATAATAGCATAATTAATAATAATAATAGCTTAATTAATAATAATAAAAATGTTATTAAAAGTAATAATAATAGTCATAATAATATTAAAAATAATAATAGTATTTATAATTAAGAAACTATCGGTGATAATATTAAAAATAATTAAACTAATAATGATTAAAGTATTATTAATTAATGCATTGTTAATAATAGTATTATTGAAAATAATAATGATAATAATATTAATAAAAATAATAATTAAATTAATTACAATAACGTATAGTAAAAAAATAATAGTATTGATTAAAATGATAAAATTTAATTATTAGTAGAATGTTCTTAAGGTTGCGGAAGGAAGTTTTTTGAAGGATCAGTATAAGTACATGAAAAAGTTTGCAAAAAAATATTTTAAGAAAAAAGAAAAACTTTTAACTCCTAACAACATAGAATTATAGATAATGAACATAAAAAATTCCTTTAAAAAAAATAAAAAGAAGAAAAAAATGACGATAAGAAAAACAAAATATCTAAATGGAAAATATAAAGTGAATAATTAAGAGCAGCAGTAGGAAATAACTAACAAAAATCCAATTATAAAGACGAATATAACGACTATATAAAATGTCCTTTTTGTGATAGAAAATTTAACGAATAAGCTGGGAAAAGACACATAGCTTTTTGTTAATAAAAAAATTTAGACATGAAAATGGTTTTTGTATAAAAATAATGAATTAAAATTATTAATTATTTAAAAATTAAAAAATATAAATTTAAATAAATATTTACTAGTTTTAAATAAAATAATATAATAAATAAATAATTTCTATTTATATCTAAATACAAAAAAATCCTAATATAATTAATATTAAATAAATAACTATTTTAAAATATTCATTTCACATCGAATTCCGAATCATCAATAACTACCGCAGTTTTATCTGTACAATAAATTTAAAGTGAAAATCCTGACTCCCCTCCAACTTCCATTGTAGCGCACATTAAACTAAAAGTATATGGATATGAAAATTCTTTTAAGAAGACCGAAGCTGTTGCATTTTTTAATTAAGTCGGTCCTTTGCATCCTCCTACTAGCAATTCTGAAGAAATTCTTGAAACTCTTTTTCCTCCATTTTTTTGAACTATAAAATAAATCGGATAAAGTCCAGTAAGCCTATCTTAACATTTTTCAATAGTCAAGGAAATAAAAACTTCGCATTATTTATTCACCTTAATTCCGTAATGAGGATTTTTTTACATTTAAGCTTTCGGCGTTTTTTTAGTTGGCAATCCAGCAGCTTTTTCCTCTTTCCATTCAGCTTTTATATTAAATATTTGCTTCCATATTGAATCTTGGAAAATTCTACATAAATAAAGTGCACGAAATTCATATACAAAATCATTTACGCTCATCCAAAATTTACCGTCTTCTTTAAATTAATCATTGACAAGTTTTTTTAAACGAGAATTCCATTTTTAAGAATTATCGCCCCAATCACCTGTCCATTCAGCACCGCCGTTTCCATGTGGATTTCTGATACATAAAAGCTTGTTGCCATCTAAATCACGAACATCAATTATACAATAAGCATGACCGAATACTATTCCTTCGTAGCTTTAGGCTTTATCACCTTATTCATGTGCAGGACTACCACATCCCATTATATATCCCTATTATATATGTAATTTATTGTTTGATTTTTTTTTTAATTACTAATTTTTTATAATCGACTAGACTTTACCAAAAAGTTTCTATATTATCTTAGAATTACTCAAGTACAATTTCATCAGGAAGCCCTCCAGTTAATTCTTAGAGTACATAACTTACTTTTCCTCCTTCTATTTTTTCGTAATTTCCATATAATTTAGCATACGCTTTTTCCAAAATAGCAGGCCACAATTCTTTTTCGTCTTCTGATTGTCCGAGTAAAAGTTTTCCATTTCTTCCATAAGGTAAAATATCATCAACAATAATATACACTATTTGTTGATTTATATAAAATTTAACTATATATGCTCCGCAGTTTTCCATTGCTTACTTGTTGAATTCGGGATTTTTCCACATAAAAATATCTTGAATTCTTGATTCTCCAACAACTGAAATTGCACTCATAAAATAACAATCTCCTATATATCCTTATCTTATATCCATTGGTTATATTCCATCTTTAAACAAAACACAACCGGTGGGTGGACGTTGCCATTTGGAAGTTTCAGAAGCCATGTCTTTACTTAGTAATTTATTATCAGCTTTGAAATTTTAATCGGTATATTTTTAATTCTATTTTATGTATTGGTCTAATATTATTTTATACTTGGCAGGAGAATCTTATATTTCATTTAAAGGTTTATTTATTATATCATTTACTTCCTATATATTTTTTTATTTTTTTAATTATTTCTTTTTTATTTGTTACAATTTTTTAAGGAAATACTATGTATTTCATCTTATTAATAAGTTCTTCTTCTCTTTTTTTTTTTGCTTCTTCTTCTTTTTTAGCACGTTCTTCATCTTCTCGTTTTTTATCTTATAAAATCTAATAATATTTATCTTAAAGTTTTCTTATTTCAGATTATTAAGTGGTTGGTAAGTTGTTAAACTAATCCATAATGTCATCATATTAATCTTCAATACTTATTTATCCAGGTTTAGTAACAAAATCTATACCTATTAGAATTAAATGACTTTTCATATAATTAATAAAATTAAGAAATTCTTTTATTTCTTTCTCTAAAAATATAAATAAAAAAAGCATCATATTGATTTTATTTACTTTTATTTCTAAGGAACCTACTATTAAACTTAATTAGAAATGAATCATAACTTTTACTTCATCTACAAAGGCAGCAGTACAGCTTTTTTCACTTTGATAGAATCTTAGAAAAACTCTGCAAGTTCTAAATAATAATAACTGTTTTTTACTGTTGATGTTTTTATAAATTCATTAATATTTCATATCTTCTATATTTTTCTTTCTTAAAAAATTAATAATTTTGAGCATTTTAACATCTACGGAAATTTTACCTTCCAAAAAAGTTTTTTTTGATTAAAGCCAAGCTTTCTTTATTACTTCTTGATTTATATTAATTCTTGAATTTCCTAATTATTATGTAGCCCATGTTGATATATACATTATAATTCCAAAAAGGAATATTTCTACTAAACAGGATGCGGCAATGCCTAAGATTACCTTTATTTTTTAAATATTCTTTTTATATTAAAAAATAAATAAATTACAGGTTAAACCCATATAGTAAAAGCAATACACCATAAAAGGAAAAAAAGACAAGAAAGCAAGAACAAAGTAAATGGATTGCTATGATTTTTGATAGTTTAAGATTTAATATCATATTTAAATAAAGGAAAAACCCAAGGTGAGGAAAATAGAGGTTATTCAGATTTTTAGAGTAAATCTTTTTAAATCAAAAAGAATGAATAAACAAACAAAATCGAGTTTAAAATTAAATAGCTAATAGAAAATCCCAAAAAATCATTAAAATCATCAAAAACAAGGGCCACAATTAAACTTATAGAACAAAAAGAAATTATAAGAGATATAGTAGCTATTTTCCATCTTTAAGATAATTAATTATTGTTTCTTTTGTAAAAGTAAAATATTAGGATTAAATAGTTAAAAAAAAACCAAAATGCCATCACACACAAACCTACTGCTAGCCCTCTTGCGTATATTAAATAACCAGATTTACCAAAAACAATTAAGGCACTTATTATTAATAATATATTTGTAATTGTGTTAAATTTTCCTTATAATTCCCTATTTTTATTATTTTTAAATATATTTTTTAATAAACTTATTGTATATTTTTTTACTTATATTTAAAAACTGCAAATACTACTGAAAGTAACCAAGGGACTAAAAATGCAAAATATAAGCAATAATATACAGCTGGATTTTATTAAATGTTTGTATCTTTAATTTTATTATTATAATAGAAGTACCCCCATGCATAATTTAATGTAAAACCCAGAAGAAACAATAAAATTTATTAAAAGTTTGGTTTTGCTAGAGTTTCGAAATATTACTTTATGGGCATAAAAATGAAAATAAAAGAAAGAAAACATATATTTATTGTAAATCCTACCAAATTAAACCTATCTGAAGTAAAAAATACACAAAAAGAATAAGCTAACATAAGTAAAATCATTGTAATAACTATTTTATTTTATAAATAAATAAGAATATATATTAAAAATACATGAAAATATTATTCTATAATCAGAAAAAAGTAATTTCCTTTATACAAAAGCTTAGAAAAAGGACAATCCATATTTTCTCCAATCTTCTTATTTTTAATAAGAATCGATTATTTAATCTTATTTAGATTCAAAACATTCAACCATGAGTTCTCGTTATTCGCCTGTGTTATTCTGGCCTTGGATTTTTAATATTAGTTATTCATTTTTAAATTTGGCATTAGGAGTGTTTTATCTGAGTTGTTATTCTAATTCTTTTAATGCATTTTCTACTGATTTATCCATTCCATCATCTTAATTTTTTTTATTTTTTTGTTTAACAAAAAAAAAATACTGTTTTCATTTTGTTTTTGTTATTTTATATATTTTTCAGCCACTTATTTTGCAACGTATTTTTTTTTTTATTATAGGAATTATTTTTCTTTTAGTTTATCGATTTTTAAATTAAATTCCTTTTAACAAAAAAATAATAATAATAAAAATAAAATTGACTTATATTACAGTAATATTAGCAATAATTTTATAATCATTTAATTTCCAATTTAAAAAAAGAATTAAAAAACATTCATAAATTAAAGGAAAAAACAAGAAAGTATAAATAACTAAAGGCTCGTCTTCTATATTATACCAAACAACCCCAAAATATATAAGAAATCCATAACTTAAACTTAAAAATAAATAATAAAGTGGCAATTTTTAACCTACCATAGCATTATTATAATTAGATCTAATTCCATTTAATTCCCTTTAATAAATTCTAACAGTACACATATAAAAGAGTACTACGAAAAAAAATAAAACAGAAGCCAATCCATACATCCATAAATCATAATTTTTGCCATAAACATTAAAACCTTCTATAGGAATGTCTTTATGTTTATTCCCTGTAGATAGTTTTATTATAATTATTGAAAATATTATAGTATTAAATCCCTATACAAATTCAGGAGTTTATGCGAATCCAAAAACTTTTTATTTAAAAGTTTTCACATCTGCTTAATTTATTCCTTTTAATTTTTTTTTTGGTAACTAGTTATCTCTATATTTTTTTAGTTTAAATGTTTTATATATTTATTATTTACACTATATGAAAACTCAAAACTATTCCTAAAATCAAATATAATAAACAATATCCTATAAACCATTTATCACCTCCAAAACCAAACAAACATGCTCTAACTACAATTACAAGTAACGTTAATTCTACAGGTCCGTTTGTTAATTTAATATGCATCATAAAAAGTAATAAAAAATCTGTAACTACAACTGCTACTGAAGTTATTGGACCTAATATATTTTCGTTTGTATATTTATAAACTATTATAGAATAAGCAGCTAATACTCCTAAAGATATAGTATATAGAGCAAGTAAAATTATTATTTTTTAAGAAGTTGTCTATAAAAAAAAATAAAAAAAAATATTTTTCATATAAATATTTACTTTTTTAGAATATATTTATTATAGTCCTCCGCTTAAAGATGTAGACTAGATATTATTTATGTCATTAAAAATTGTACAAACAGTTAGTATTTCTGATTTTGTAGGATGATATTTAGGATCTTAAGTTTCTTTATTTATAAGAGCTTCTATTGAAGTAGCATTGTCTTAACTTAAATTATCTCCTTCAACTACGTTAGTGTCTATAATATCCTTAATAGTGGCAGAGTCTTTAGAAAAATACATAAAAACAATCAATAGAACAAAAAAAGCATTAATCATTAAAAAAACAGCTGACAATCCAAAATAACTAAAAATGTAAAATATAAAAAAAAATGCATTTATAAACTTAAATACGAAATTTTATCATCAGTTAAAAGTAGACAAATCAATTAAAAAGCCCAAAAACACAATGTTCCTATAGAAAGTAGAATCGCAGTAAATCTGCCCATTTAGAAATTATTCCATTTAATTTAAAGGATAGATAGCATCCATAATATAAGGCAGATTCCAATCAGTAATATGGCTATTCCTGGAATCTAATTTTAAAGTTGAGTTTAAGATTTCTATGAGGCTAATTACAGTACAGAAGTTCCCCATGCAATTAAAGTTAGTAAGGGCCATAAAACCATAAAAATGATTATGTATTTGAATATTTTAGCGTATATTTCTACACGGGATGATTTTTTTATAAAAAGCCAGTTTTTTGTGGCAAAATATGTCTCTAATTAATAAAAATCACCTTTTATTTTTATTAAAATTAGAGTGGAGACTAAAAGAGAAAAAATGCAGAAAATTCCTAATTCTAATCCGAAATCACGAAGTACACTACTTTAGATACTTTAGGACATTTTTCGATATCTTTTAATTAATAAAAATATATATAAATATTTTAATAAATTTTATTTACTTAATTAATAATTGTAGATTATATTTCTATATTTAATAATAAATTATAGGCAATTAATTATTAACAAAATAACAATATAATTTTTATTCAGTTATATTTTTATTTTGTATTTATTTCGTTTTTATTTATTTATAGTTTTTTTGTATAATTAATTTTTATTGTATAAAAAATAAATATTATTTAAGAATAATTATTATTTATAAATATTTACTATTATAAAATAAATTGAAAAATTTAATAAAACTTTTATTTATTAATTAAAAATTCATTTGTTTTCAAAATCAAAATTATCAATATTTGATTTATATATTTTGAAATCTTAGCATATTTTATCAATCATAAATTATATAATAATTTCTGTTTATTTAGATTTTTTCATAAACATTTAATTTAGCAAATCTTATAAATTTATATTAACGATAATAAGTCTATCAATATTAATCAAAAGCCACATAACAATATTTTCGTCTAAATTTCCCAATATAGAAGTACTAAAAATTATACCTTTTTTTTATTCCACTTGTATGCATATAGAAGGAAATTTAAACTACAATTATTGCATCACGTAAAATAATTAATCTTGTATAGATTGTATATTTATAATATTGATTGTAATTAATTTTAGAGAAAGAAAATCTCTTTTGGGTTCGATTTGTATTTCTATTTGAAAATCATATTCTTTTTGGTTTTCTGTAAATTTGAAGGTAATAAATTATGTATTTTGTTGTTATTTTATTGGTTCGAGTTTAAAATTGAAAAAATAAAAAAATTATTGTATTAATTGATAGTTTGAAGCTATTTATTGACTTTGGTTTATCAAATTTTGAAATTAAGCAAGATTTTAATTTTGGTTTAAACGAATTTTATCAAAAAATAAATAGGCTTTATCTTCAGTGTTTTATTATTAATTGTTTTCAATGAATATTTTTGTATTTAATTTTTAATTATTTTCTTCAACTTCCATAATTTTTTATATATTTATTTTAATATAAATCAAATAAAGATTTTGATAATAGATTTATTTTTAAAAATTAAATAATTAATATTAATAATATTTTGTTTTTAAGAAATAAAATTAATAAAAAATATGATTTTTTAAAAAATTACAAAAATAATACATTTTATTATGTTATATAACTAATTAATAAAATATAAAAATTTAAATATTTTTTCATAAATTTAAATGATTAAATTATAATCTCTAGATTTCTTAATCAAAATAATAATTATATATATAATACATAATTATAAAGATGAATAAAATTTAAAATTATTTAATGAATTTAGATGATTTTTCTATATTATTTAAATAAAAAATATAATTTGACTAATTTAAAATAATATAATAGTGTTATATTTTACTTTTTGAAGAAGTAATTTGATTTTCTTTGACATTTTTACATTCTAATTTTTCTAATTTGCACGATTAATATTTTTTGCTATTTTATTCGAGCTAAATTTACAATATTTTTATATAATAATTATTTTTTAATTTTACTTATGATTGGACATTAGTGGAAGTTAAGTTATCATTCAAAATAGATCCATCATCTTATGATTGTATATATATTTTTAATTTTGCATATTAGATTTAATTAAAACTTTTGTTGTCTTTAAATATTTATTCAAGTGTTGATTCGTTCTATTTTTTTATTTTATTTTTTAATAATTTTATTAGATGTTTTTGATTAAAATAAAATTATATTTTTAAATACATTATTCTCTACTTTTATTGCTAATAATTAAAAACTGTCTTTAAATTAGTTAATATTTTCATTTAATACCTAATTATTTATTTTATGTTTTTTTATTTTTGTAATTTATTTTTTACAGAAGGATGCATTGTTAAATTTATATGAATATTTTTATGAGGAGGAATAATTTAAGAATTTGGTTTAACTAAATATTTTTTTGGGTGTTTTGATTTAAACTTATAGTTTTTAGGTTTATATAAATTTAATATTTAAAAAAAAAAAAATATTAATACTTTATATGCAACATGAAAATCATTATCATTATATAATGTAATCATGCCTGGTAAATACTTTTGAGGAACATAACTAAATTATATAGAAGGATTACTAAGTCTTAATAGACTCATTTCAGTTTTTGATTATTTAGTCATATAATTTAACTATATAAATTAATGTTTATTTCTATTAGATTTTTTATTTAAGTCTTTATTTTTTATTTATATATTGTTAAATTTAATTTATATTTTATTAATAATAATGCAACAACAATTAATAGCATTTTTTCGAAAATAATAAAATTAAAAAAATATAAACTACAAAAAAATCAATATACATATATTAATTATTTAAATAAATAATAGATAAAAAACAAAATAATTATAATCAAAAAAAAATAATAAAAATAAAACATATAATAAATAACTTTATACAAAAAAAAATATTCAAATTATCGAAAAAATTCTATCTTCTTATTTTAATTCAATTTTAAGTTAATCGCAAATCCAAACAAAAATTTTATGAGATTCCACAAACCTTTATTCCGAATTTTAACATTTCAATAAAACAATAATAAAATTTCTGTCATTTATTTTCCAGGAAGTAGCTAAGCAAGGTCCTGCCGAGCAAGTAGTTCCTGTTTTTAAACCAGCACAAATATTTTAAAATTTCTACAAACATTTATTTGTATTTTCCCATGTTAATATTCTTAGTTATCCATTTTTATTTTTAACCTAACAAGTATATAACTTACATTTAACAACCTATCTAAATAATCCACTTTAAAACATTGAGTAAGCTGATAATTTACATTAATCAATTGCATTTGATTTATTAGATTTATTTATTAATCCATGTGGGTTACTATATTATGTTTGTAATAAGTTTAATTCTCGGGCATATTTGTTCATTTCTTATACAAATTTTTTTATTGCTTCTTTTGATTTTATATTCTAAATTTAAATATTTTTTTATATTTATTATTCTTTAAATAATTTTTTATATAATAATATCCTTCCAATATGTTCCTTTTTTTGTTTTTGTTTTAAAAACAAAACAATAAAATTTAATATAATTAAAAAAAATACAGCTAATGCAAAAGCAGAATCATTTCCAGAAGGCAGCATTAAACTATGTAAAAGATCCCAAATAGTAATTTGATCTCCATATTTCAAATTTGCTGAAGTTCCTATCATTTAGGCTGCAGGTTTGGATATTTGTACAATATCAATTTTGTTAATTACTTTTTCTTATATTAATTAACAAACAATATGACATGTCATTATTTTTGTTAGTGATGCTATTTCTCGTTACTTTTTAGATTTATGTGAGAGTAATATTTTATCGTTAACAGAGTCGTATACACATATGCTTTTGGCACTTAAATTTAAGTCTTTTAATTGTCTATATTTGAATAATCCAATGTTGTCAGCTTAATCTTTTTTATAGTTTATTATAAATTAAAAAATATGTTTTATTATATTTTACAAATAGATGGTAGTGTTATATTATTTTATAATAAAAGTGTATCTTCCTTTTATTTATTTTTTAAAAAGTAGAAAAATTAGAAATATAAGAAATATATTTTATAAATTATACGTGTTTTTATTTTAATTTTTTATGTACATGTGATTTATTTGAATTATTTACTATAAGAGAATCATTAGATATTTTAAATTATTTACTTAAAATTTAATTTCTACATATACTTTATGTCTTATTTGTTAGGCTATTTTTTAATGATTTTGTATTTCTATTTTATGCTAATATTTTATTAGTTTTAATTTAAAATTTTTTCTAAGAGCTTTCTTATCTAAAGTGTATTTCAGCAGATTATATTAATGATTTTGTTTTATCTATTAAGCTCATATTTTTTATCTATTTACTTTTGTATAATTTTTGTTTTTTTATTTTTAGTTTTTTTATTAATTATATAATTATAAATCATATTAAATAAACTTATTTTATTTAAATAAAAATTTAAAATATATAAATTAACAAATTAAAAATCAGTATATTAAAGAAATTTTTTTTAAATAGTTTATAAAAATTAATACTTAATTTTTATTCCAAAGTAATTTTTTTAATAAAACTTTTTCTAAGTTATCTATCCACAAACGCATCAGTTAACTACTAATACCAAAATAAAGTATAGCAGAATAAATATCATAAATAGAAAATATTCCCTAACAAAATGCTGTTGAAATAAAATAATTCATAAACTATTTATCAAAAACTTTTACGATGCCAAGTTCTTCAATTTAGGCATGTGTGATATAAAAATCTTCTAATTATTAAAAAAGTAACTTAATTAGTGTTTCATATTAAATGCTCATAAAAAATTAGGGCAAACCTTATATAAATAAATCCTAAAATTTCAATTAAAGATCTATTTTAAAACATTAAAAATTATCGACTTCATTTTCATTCACAGTTTATATAAAACATTCATAAACGGAATCCAAAAAAATTTAATCGAAAGGATATATTAGCTTTTTTTAGATTGTTTTTATGAAAGAATCTCTATATTAAACTTAATATAAGGCTTTTAAAAATTATTTAATAATTTAAAGAATATAGTTTATGTTATGTACTTTAACATAATGATTGAAATTTCGATTTAAGTAAAGTAAATTTGCAATTTATTTTTATATTTTATAATCAAAAAAATATTTTTGGGGAATAAAAATATTTCGTGTATTTTCTATTTTCTTTAAAATTTCGAATTTTAGGACTTTATTAATTTTTATTTCTTCTGAATTTTGTTTTTCTAGTTTAGTTAAAAGTGTAAAAACATTACTTTTAATTAAAAAATATTCTATAGAAGTAAAATATACAGGATTTTTTTCATAAAATTCTTGTATATAATCATATTCATCTAAAAGTATTTTCTAAACTAAAGTAAATATTAGTTGTTTTTTTTCTTAATAAATTTATAAATTAAAGTCCATTTTATTCTATATTATTAAAATTAGATTATCTAATAAAAAATTTAACCCATCAATACCTCCCAAATCTTCATATAAATTATAAACTATAATATATTTAGTACTTAGTTTTAGAAAATTTATTTCAAAATCTTTCGATTCTACACTCAGTTCGTTCATTTTTAATTTAAGAATTTGAAAAAGAACATTGAAAATATTTTTTCGGATTTTAGTAAATTAAGTTATATTATTTTCTAAAAAAGAATTATTATTTTCGATATTTTTATTCATTTCAGTGTATAATATTATAAATTTTATATAAGAAATAAAGTTGTCAGTGAATTATTAAGTAGTTAATAATGTTTGATCTTCTATATAAGAATTTAATTATTTATCCTCTTGTATATCTTTTGTGATTTTATAAATTATAATATCTAAACATTCATTTATATTCTGAAATTTAATAAATCTTCCAAAACTTAATTTTGGAGATGTCTTATTTTTTAATGGTTAAATGTAATTTAATGAAACTATATTTTAAGAGGAATTTTTATTGTTTTCGGTTTTTAATTTGTTTTATGACACATATTCATTTAATAGATTATAATAACTCTTATATTATACACGAGTGGTAAATGGTTTTATATTTTAATTTGTATTTTTTTAGATATCTTCTAAATAACTTAAACTTTATATAAATTATATTTTTTTTGATGGCTTTTATTTATCCTTTTTATCCAAATATTAAGTTAGTAATTAATTTTTTTATTTTTTTTATTCTTTTCATCATAAATAAATTATCTATTTTTAATTGTATTTATATTTATATTTTCTGTATTTTTTTATTTTTTTTCATGAAACATAATTTTTCCTAAATCCTAAAAGGAACGAACCTGATTTATTTTATGCCATCTTTAAGAATTATTTAGCTCTTTTTCAATATTTATTTACTAAGATTCATTTGTTTTTTCTATTAAAGTATTTTTAATAATTTTATTTAATTCTGGAGTTTAATCAAAAGATTTATGAATAAAATACGTTTAGTATACTTATTTATTAATTTATCTTTATAAATTAATATCATAATTTTATTTTCTTTATATTTAAGATAAAAAATCGCGATGATTGTTTGAGTTTTAAACAGATTTATGGTTAGATAAATACGGTAATTATTATGTTAAGTAATACTTATTATTTTTAGATTCGCTATTAGAAGATTATTTAAAGTGTTTGAACATTTTTTAAAAATATTTAAACTAAATTGAATTAAATATAATTAATTAAATTTAAATTAAATTAATTTAAAGTAATTTTAATTTATTGGAATTAATTCAATTTAAATTAAAAAAATTTTAATTAATAATTATAAAAAAATGATTATTTAATATATATTAAATAAATAAATAAAATTATTAACAATAATATAAATATAAAGAAATTTATAAAAATTATATTAAATTTAAATATATTAAAATATATAGATTTAAAATAAATATTATATATATTTTTGAATAAATTAAATTAATTTAAATAAAATAAATTAAATTAAATTATATTAATTTTATAATTTTCAATTTTTTAATTTTATATTTTTTTAAAAATAAAAAGTCAATTTTAAATATGCATTTATTAATATAATATCTTTTAATAATATTAAATATATAATATTTTAATTACATTTAATATTTTTTTATAATATTAAATAGATTATTATAATTTTTTTATTTTATATATATATACTTTAAATTTTTTAAAAAATTATAAATTCTATTATATAAAATTTTTAAAAAATATATTATTTTATAAATAATAAATTATTTTAAAAAAATAATATTTACAATATAATAAAATAGTATAATATAATAATTTATAAATATATTTAAAATTTTTTATATATATTTATAATAATATGTATATATTTATAAATATATAAATATATAAATATATAAAAATATAAATATATTTATATTTTAATCTTTTTATATATTTACATAATTTTTTTATATATTTTAACATTTTTTACAACTTGTATTGTATAATTAATTGACTATTCTTATTCTTATTTTTTTTTTTTTTTTTATTTGTTTATATTTTTTAATATTAAATTTATTGTTTCTATTCTTATTGTTTAATTCTTTTACTATATGTATAAATTATATTAACAATATATATCATGTATAACTTTTTTTTTCTATTTCTATTATTTTATATATATTTAAATTTAATATTAATCCTATTATATTTATCATTAGAAGAATATTTATTTATAAAACTATTTAATTAGAATATTTATTTTATAGCTACATGTATTTTTTTATTATTATTTTTTAATATTTTATAAGATTTTAATTGTTTATTTTTTTTATTCTTTATTATAAATTAATATAAATTTTGATAATTTTTATAATTAATATTTTTATTATTATCTTGTTTATCTTTAACTTTTATTTAATAAATTACATATAATAAATTTTTATTAATTTTTATAATTTATTTTTAATATTTAGTTTTTAATTTATTAGACTTTAACATTTTATATTTTATTCTCAATTTTTTTTACTTCATATTTAACTTTTCTAAAGCATAAATATTTAATATTTTTAACGTTTATTAATAATTATATTTTTTTAAATATATTTATTTATTAACTATTAAAAGTTTTTATATTTTAATAAAATTTAAATATGAAAAATTAATTTATCAAATAATTATAAAACAAAAAGTATTTAAACTATGTATTAATAAAAATAAATAATGATTTTTAAAAACATAAAAAATTGAACAAAAAATTAATTAAAAAATACTTTTTCCAATGTAACTTAAAAATATTTGCAATACTAATATTTATTTAATATAAAATCATATATTAAATTGATTATAAATTATTCGATTTTCATAATATAAATTTGAGAAGTTTTTTTAATAGAGTATACTTATTTTCATATTATTAATTTATATCATTTTATTAAAATTTTAGTTTATTAAATATTTTACTATACATTTGATTTTTTTAGAATTTTATAAATAAATAAATAAATTATAATTGGTAAGAAAATTTTTAATATACTTTATAAAATAATAATTAATATCTAAATTAACAATATAGATTTAAAAAAATATTAATACATTATTATATATATCAAATCAATATAAATGATTAAAAAAACATTCAAACTATTTAGCACTTTATAACAAGGTCAAACAGAAACATATGATATAATAATATCAGGTAAAAAATAAAAATATAAATAAAATAAAAATAAAAAATAATAGGATGTGGACCAGTAGGTTTAAGTTTTGCCTGTGCATTATCAAACAGCATGTATTTCAAAAATTAAAAAGCAAAAATCTTAATGTTAGATTCATAAAAATTAGAAGAAAACCTAACTGATATTCCTCACTAAAGAGTATACAGTATAAATTATTCAAGCCAGAATTTTTTATAATCAATTGGTGCTTGGGACCATTTAGATAAAAAAAGACTGGGGCACACTAAATAAATGCAAGTATGGGAAGAAAAAGGTTAAAGTTACATCAAATTTAAACATTAAGGAAGTCCGAACGACGATGATAATAAATTAGGAACTTTAATTGAAAATAACAATATAATATTAAGCTTATTAAAAAGGATAAGAGAATTAAATACTATAGAATTTTCCATTCCGGACCAAATCGAATGTTTAGAAGACGACGAGAACTCAAATTTATAAATCGTAAAATTAAAATCTGGAAGAAAAATGTTTTCTAAATTAGTTGTAGGAAGTGACGGAAGGAATTCGGTAGTAAAAGAATAAAAAAAAATTGGTACATACGGTTGGATGTATAATTAAATGGGTATCGTATGCACTATTAAGACAAGCAAAAGTGAAAAAAATACGGCTTATTAAAGATATTTTATTAATGGTAGTTCTCTTGCAATTCTGCCTTTGTGGGATGGATATAGTTCTATAGTATATTCTGTGCCTTTATATTAATATGAAGAATTAATTAAATAGTCCGATAATGACTTTTTGAATACTTTAAATTTCGCTTTATCTAAATAATCAAATTTGTAGACTCCGACGTTCAATTTTAATGATTAGAGCTTTGTTCCGCCTCCTTTCGTAACTTAAATTATTAATAAAAGACTTGCTTTTCCTTTGGCTTAGCTATAATCTGGAAGATATATAGCCAGAAATATTGCACTTATAGGGGATGCGGCACATTCGATACATCCACATGGAGGATAAGGTCTGAATAATGGATTTAATGATGCGATTTCCCTTTCCAATTGTGTTATTAGGAATTTTAGGGCTGGACATTTTATTGGGGACTTGATGAGTTTATAGGAATATGAAAGTGAAGCGAAGGTTTTTAATTATTTTAATGGAATTTCAATGGAAGTTCTTAAAAAATTATATGAAGTTGATGTTGCGGGATTTGCAATGGTCAGAAATTTCGGAGCTAATCTGTTAAATAATTGTAATTTTATTAAAAACAATATTTAGAAGATTGCAGGGTAAAATCCTTTTGCTCCTTAAAAATATGAATGGATTGATTGAAATAAAATATTAATTTTTATTTTTATTTATAAAAATTTTCATAATTTTTTTTATCAAATAAATTATTTTTAATAAGTAAATAATAAATATTTTTTTATATATATTTATTAAATATTAATTTATTTGGATTTTAATTATTAAATTTTTTATTGAATTATAAAATTACTATTAAATTAAAAAAAAATATTATAAATTAATTATTAAAGTATTAAATAGAAGAACATTTTCTAAATTATATTATTTTTTAGTTTTACCTATTAACTTTAGTAAAGTGATTTACAATGTTTTTTCAAACATTTAATGAAATTATTGACTTTTTTAATGATTTTTTTAAATCAATATTGGGAAAAATTTGATAATCTTCTTAATAATTTATTATTTAAAAGTATTATAAATTTAATTTAAATATAAAAATAATTATTTTACTAAAAAGAAAAAGAAAAATCCAAATTAATTTTTGAAATTTGTTTAAATTCTTTAATTTTTTAAAAGTTCGTTTAAAAATCCTGATTCTTAATTTAAAAATAAAAATAAAAAATTGATATTAAAATATAAATTAATTTTTTTAGGGCATGTTATTTTTTCTTTTAATAGAAAATATTTAGCGAAAATTTTAATCTTTAAGTAAATTAATGTAGAAATTTGAAAATTCAAATATAAAAATTAGTAATTAATGATGATGGTAATTTAAAATTTAGGGTATATAGTTAAAAAGAAGAAATTATTTTTATAAAAAATTCTAATAATTTTTAAATATATAAATTAAAAATTAATTATTATATTTTTTATAAAGTTTATGTTATATAGCAATTAATTTGTTCATTTTAAAAATTACGTAATATTTATTTATATTTGTTTTTTATTTATAATATTATTATATAAGCAATATAAATTTAAATATATATACAAATTTTATTATTTAAGTTAATATATTGCATTATAAAAATTAATTAATTTATAAAATTATTCTATTAGCTAGCTTATTAATTGCATTTAAATTTTTTAATGTCATAAATATAATTATTAAGATAAATAAAAAATAATTATTTAATTTTTATAGGTTTACTCTTTTAATTGGATATTAGAATATGTTAAAACGATTATTTTTTAACTAATTTTAATAAAACTAATGAGCAATAAAAATAAAAAAAAAAATAGCTAGTTTGATTTTTATTAAAAAAATTAAAGATAATAAAAATAAAAAAATTATAATAAATACAAAATTAACTATATACATAAAAGAAACTATGAAAGTATTTAAAACATCTTTTAATTTTTCTAAATTAAATAAACACAAACATTAAAAAGTAGAAATATACTATACAGATTCTCATAACATATATTTTAATTTAGCACTTGAGCAAAGTTTATATGAAAATAATTTAGTTTACCCACGTTTGATGTTATGGAAAAACGATTAAAGTATAATAATTGGTAAGTACCAAAATTAATGGAAAGAATGTAACATGTTTAATCTCATAAATGAAAATGTTCCCTTTATTAGAAGAAAAACAGGCGGAGGTACTGTATATCATGATTTAGGTAAAAAAAGTAAAAATATATTAATAATTAAAATAGGAAATATTTGTTTTACCTTTATTACGCCCATATTTGATAAAGATATATATTCATTAGACCCGAGATAAGATAATGTATAAATATTGCAATCAGCAATGAATATTTTAGGGATAAGTACTGGTTTAACGAAAAGAAAAGATTTAACATTTAAAGAAAAAAAAGTATGAAAAAAAAAATTACAAGCAAACACTTTTTTACCAAATAAAAATAGATATCAGGCTCAGCTTATTAAGCAAACATGGGAAATAAATAAGGTGATAATAAAAAGTGTTTACACCATGGAACACTTTTGTTAAATGCTGATATTAAAAAATTATGGAAATATATAAACACAGAAACTAAAAATATAAATTGTAAAGGATAAGAAAGTGTAATATCTTAAGTTTGTAATTTAAGAGATTTTTTTTAAGATTTATCTGATGAAAAGGTTTTTGAAGCTATAAGTGATGCTTTTATTAATTTTTATTAAGTTTAAAATTTCGAAGTTTTAAAATCAAAGAATGTGAACATAAAATGAATACTTTTATTTAAAAAGAAATTAGTGAATTTTAAAGTTGGGATTGGAATTATGGGAAAACACCTTAATTTATAAATAATATTAATTTAATTTCAGATTAAAATAATGAAAGAATTAATATTAAATTAGAATAATAGAATGGTAAAAAAAAATTTTATTAAAATATATTAATAATTTAAAAACTATAGGATATGTTGAAAATGCAGAATTTGAATTTGAAAATTATTTATTGTTTACTACTTAAAATATTTTAAATGATTATTTTAAACAAAATAAAATAAAATATGAAATAAATGAAATTATTTAAGCTATTTAAAATTCATCTATAAATATATCTGAAATAGAAAGAGAATATATATAAAATTTTATTCCGATATTAAAATAAAAATTATGAACTAAAAATATTTTTATTTTAATAAAATAAAATATTTTTATATTTATATTTTATATATTTTTTTTTCAAATAAATGAGCTTTATTTAGGCTTAATGGCAAAAAAATTTAAATGAAATTTTACCTAAAGTAAAATAATTTAAAAGTGAACAAGAAGCTAATCTTTAAAGAGCATGTTTTTTAAAGAATTAAGATAATTTTGAAGGGTATAATTCATGTTTAAAGAGCTTTTATGATTAATTTTCTTTTTTCTAATTGAAAGTTGAATTTGAATAAAGAAGGATTTATGAATGCCTTCAAGTTTTATAGAATGAGGATTCTAAAGCAAGACAAGAATTATAAAAAATGTGTTTAAATGGGGTTGATGATAATTTAAAATAATATTTAAATGAATATAAAGATAATGTTTATAAACTATTATTGAAATGAATAAAGAGAAAAAAAATTAAATAAAATTATTTTAAATTTTTCATGTTAATATAAAAAATAATTTGTGTAAATAAAACAATAATTCATAAAATTTGTTTTTCTAATTAACTTTTTTTACATTTTTATTAATTATATTGATTATAATAATTAAAAAAATATACAAAGATAAATTTAATAACTAATAATTTACATGTTTTAAAGTATTGAATATAAAAAAAAAAAAATTAATAAAGTAATGATTTTTTTTATTTTTAAATATAGCTAAAAAATTCAAAAATTTATATAATGAAGGCTTATATTAAAATAAAATTAAATATATTATTAAAATTTATATATAATAAGCAAAGCAAATAATATAATATAAAATTATAATTTATATGTAAAAAAATACTTTGTATAATTGAACATTTAATATATCTTTTTATGAAATATTTTATAGATAATACAATTTTTTTTTTTTACAACTTTCAAATTTCAAAAAATTTTATAATTAATCACTCTATAAATTTATTTCAAAAAAAAATAATAATAAAATAATTCCAATACACATTATTTTAATTGATTTATATGCCGTGATTAGATTCTTTAAACTTTGAAGATGTATTTAATAAGAGATACATAATTCTAAATGTTATATGACCAAGTAAACCTTTAGTGATAAGATAATTTATTAAATATACTTTTTTACCTTCTTATTTTTTATATACTGATACTTCTGGATTATGCTATGATAAATTTAGTATTATTTATAAATGTTAGCTATAAATTAATTTTAGATTTAGGAGAAAAATAACCTAGAGAGCCAAGAAATAATAAGTTTTTAGGAGTATGATAGTCAGCTTGGAAATAATTAATAAAAGGAGATTAAGAAAATACACATTTTAGTAAATTGATAAGGAGAAATACATTATGAACATAAATATAAATGCAGAAAACCATTTTTTGCTAATGAAATAAAAAAACTAGCTGCTATATTTCTAAAATAACAGTCAAATTTATAGCAATAATTTAGAATTTTGCTGTTGTTTATATTGTTTAGATTTCAGTTTAATTATTATAAAAACCTGAATATAATAATATTTTAAATTAAAAACATAAAATTAAAAGTTTTATTAATTAATATTTATTGAATCAAATTTTTAATTAAATAAAAATAATAAATTAAGTTAACTAATTTAATGAAATATATTAAAATTAATAATAAAAAAATATTTATAAAAATCAAAATATAATATTATATCATTTTATTATTTCTATTTTTAATAACTAAATAATACAATTTATAATCAGAATATCAAATTTTTAAAATTTTTCTTTTGTTCATTATTAAAATAAATTTAAAATTTAAAATAAATATATATTATATAATTTAGTATATTATTAATAAAAAAAATATTATCATTTATTTCAAATTAAATATATAGTATTTTAATATTTTTATCACCAATATGATTTCCGCACTTTTATCAATATATTTAAACAGTGTTTATCCTTAATAATCTACTATGATGAATCCTCTTAATTAATAAATATCCCTTATTATCTTCTTTTTATTGTTTCTACAAACAATCAGAAATTATGTTAAATTTAGTTTCTTTTTATTTTTTTCCTTTAATTTTTCAAAAGCAATTTGCTCTCACACACACGCACGAGATGCAACTTATTACTAGTGATTATTCGAAATCAGTTTATAAATAATTTAGATGTAATACATTTTTTAAACAAATTATTTTATAGTTGATTTTATACAAGATTCAATAACATTAAGAATAATTTTATTTTGTAAAAACTTTTTAAAAATTTATAAAACATAAATTTTTATAAATCACGACATCAATTAAAATGACTTAAAAATATTAAAATAGAAATATTATTTACATATAAATATTAAATTTCACAGACTATTAGTTTATTTTATTTTTAAATAGTTTAGTTAATAAAATATTCATATTATTCAAATATTAAATAAAAATATTAATATATTAAATAATAAATAATATATAAGAATAATTTAGAAATAGATGATTAATAGAAAATGTAATAAATTATAATATTTTTATTTATATTATAATATTAGATTATTATATAAATTATAATAATTTTAATATACAATATTTATATTATTAATTAGAGAAATAATAATTTATTTGAAAAAATTATTATATTAATAATAAAAAAAATATTATTTTTAATATAAAATTAATTTTATTAAAATTTATTTAATTATTATTTTTAATAATTTATATTTTATATCCAAATATAAAATATAAATAAAAACATAACCTTTGTTGTCGACCATACTAAGGTGAACACACCGGATCCCATTCGAACTCCGAAGTTAAGCGCCTTAAGGCTCGGTTAGTACTAAGGTGGGGGACCGCTTGGGAAGTCCGAATGTCGACAGCCCTATATATATTGTTTTTAATTATTTATATAATTTTTTAAATATTTATAAAATAAAAAATAAAAAGATAGTATTAAAACATATATTAATATATATATACATATTATATATATATATATATATATATATATATATATATATATATTATATATTTATATATAGAGTGAGAGAGAGCTATTTATACCCGTAATCTCGAATGGGATTCTGTGTGTTCGTCTTAGTATGATCTACAAAAAAGGTTATATTATTGATAAAAATTTTAAAATATCAATTTATTTTTTATTTTTTTTATATTATATAATTTATTTTTTTTTTTTTTTTTTTAATGAAAAACCATATTATTTTCATTTATTTATTTTTATAAATTTTATATATATATGCATTCTTTATTTTAAAAAGAATATATAATTTTTTTATTCAATATATTTTTATATTAAAAACTTTTTTCAAATTAGTATATATTTTTTTTTAAAAAAAATTCATGAAGGGAAAAAAAAGTATTAATTTATATATTTTTATTCATATAGTAAATTTTCAAAAAACAATGCAATTTAATAGTTTTATTCGAAAAAAGATTTGAAGCATAATTAAAAAAGCAAAAAGTTGAGCCTAAAGAACAAAGCAAAAATATTGAAAAAAGGTTCATCATTAATACACATGATGAAGATGAAAAAGTTAATAAAAATTTATAGTTTTAAACATATAAAAAAAATTACAATAAATAATATATAAAGATTGACATAAAAATAAATGAAGATTAATATCCAGAATTTAAAGAATAATTTAACTATAAAGATACAATTTATTTTTTAATTGGAAAAAGCAATAATGAAAATTCATTCATTTTAAAAGCATCAAAGTAAAGTTTGTAAAACTAAGGCGGAATATCAATATAAAAAAAAATTTGCAACCTTTTCACATTTGATTATGGAGTTGGACAAAAATTCGAAGTGAATTATAGTTTTTTTTTAATTTAATTTTATTTATAAAATTATATTAAAAAAAGGAAACAATAAAATTATTAAATTAAAATGAATTAAAATAATATGAACTTGAATTTGTTGAGATAGTTTTTAGAGATTCGTTTATTTCAAGAAGGGATTTTAAAAATATTGACTATTATCTAGAAAACATGACAGTTTATACAAATAAAAATATATTTTATAAAGGTGTGAAACTTGTTTCTTAAGTCCTTATTAAAAAATGTTAAGAAAATGCATCTAATAATTAAATTGTTCATTCTGGAATAATAACAAAAGATACCAAAATAATTTATAGAAGCTAAAGCATAAGATAATCAATTTTAGTTATAAGAAAAATACATAGTTAATAAAAATTAAGTTATTTTTTATATATAATTAGATAGAGATTTCTAAAGAAATATTTGAATTTGATGGATATGGAGAATTGTACTGGGAAAAATTAGTTAAATTTTTAAGGATTTATTTTTCAAGGTGCCAACATTTTAGTACTTCACATAATGTAGAAATAATTCTTTACGGAAGATTATATTATCCTTAATTTAATACTTTAGAATAAGCATATGCAGAAATAGTAAAATTTTATAAATATACATATATATTTTTATAAATTAAATAAAAGATTTAAATATTAAAATATAATCAAAAATTATTTAACGAAAGTTAATGTTGTTTTTAAATTGATGATTAAAATTAAATATATTAAGATGTTTATGATAAAATATTATTAAAAACTTATTGTAAAAATTTTGAAAAGGTTTTAAATTAAATTTGGCATTCTTTCAATTCTTTAATATTATTTATGAATTGCTAAAAAAACTAAAATCCTATATATTTCCATATTATTGATAAATATTAATAATATCTCAAGAATTTAGCTGTGAGTAAGTAAAAAGATTAAAATTTAAATATGCCAGAAAATATTAATTAAAAACCAACTAATAGGTAATAATTAAAAACAGATATGAAAAAAAGTGCATAGTGTATACGAAATGTAGAAAAACTTTGCATTGAAAGTGAACTATCATCAAGTTATTATTCAAATATTTTAGAAGCGTTAAACTTAGTATCTTAAGATTTCAGTAAACATTATATAGGAAGATCTTTAATCGAAACAGGGCATAATATAATAATTTTAACATGTGGAGAAGCAAGGTATAGAGGCGATTAATACCTATATAAAACGGTTAAAGAATAAATTATTCTTAATGATATAGGATGCACTTTAGTTAGTTTAAGATAAAGTCCTTATTTTAAAACACCTTAGTTTAATTTTTTTCGTATTTCTAATGTTCAAAAAGTAGTTTTAAGTAAAACGATTTTATTTGCGAAGCTATTTATAGTTAAGAACAGTTAGAAAATTTATTTTATAATTGTTTAGAGAAGTAAATAAATTAAAATTATTAATTATACAATGAAGATATGGAGAAACCATAATTATCTGATAAAAAAATCAAAATTTATTAAGGTCAAGCTTATACTAAAGATATTAATAATAATTTTGAAAAATTTTTAATAAAATGTGACCATACAAGCCATTTAAATATGGATAATTTTGAAGATTCTTGTAATAATACTAAAAACTAAAGAAAAATAATAAATAAAGTGCCATATTGGATTAAATCTTACTTTATAAATGATGATTATATGAATTGTAATTTATATTTAATTATTATCTAAACTTATTTATGTATTTTTTTAATAAAAAAAGCGCATGAAGAATTATATTCATAAATGAACAATGATATATTGTTTAATTTATAATCTAAATTTTTTAAATACTCAAATAAACTAAAAGAAATTAATTAGAGTACAAACTATGTAGTATTATAAAACAAAATTAATTTACCTTAAATTAGTACAAACTAATGCAACTTAGATAATTTTTTTAGTTTGGATAATTTATAAGCTTTTAGATTTGAATAATTTGATTAAATGATGCTCTAACGTTAAAAAGAATCAAATGATAATCAAACAAATTTAAAAGGACAAAAATAAATCTTAACTAATAGATCAAAATAAAATACCACTTTTTGCTGCCAATCAATTATTTATGAACCACAAAAATTGGAAAGCTTAATATTTTAGAGTTCAAAATAATAAAACTTTATTTTTAAACTCAATAATTTGTAATAATAATAAACTAATTTACTTAGTATTGAGAAATCTAAACCAAATATATTTTAGTTGGCTCATTATAAAAGAGAAGATTCATAAAGCTAATCAGAAGAGTTTTCTTTAAAAAAAAAAAATAGTGAAATAGTCTATACAGGAAATAATAAAATTTTATAAAGGTCTCCTGATATTAATTAGGCTTCTCCTAATTATAGAAGGCTTGAAAATGAGGGAATATCAGAAAATTGCGATTTAAAAAAAGACTAAAATAAATCTAATTATAAATGTAGGTTAGAATTAGTTTATTTATAAAATAAAATACATTTTTATTCAAACCTTTTTGATGAAAAAATGAAAAAAGAATTCGAACAATTTTTCCCTAAAGTAGATGCTTTTGATTTTTCTTAATAGTAAAAAATCTTTTCGCATAATTATTTGTACTAAAGCAAAAATAATATTAATAACAAAAATTAGTATAATTTTTAGTTTTTAAAAAATATATATATATATTTATTTTAAATAGATTCCTTTTTTACAGTGAATTTTTTTGGAAAAGTTTAGTAATTCCCTTGTTACCTCCTATATATACTTCACTTTCTCTTAATAATTATATTAAATAAACACCTTAAACAAAATATCATAGACTACCTTTACATTTTTTAGAATCTTTAATTGGCTTTAGACTTGCTAATGTATTTATATATAAAAAAAAAATTATTTAATAAAATAAAAAAGAATTTCCAAATTGTTTTAAGTTAGTAAAAATCTTAAAGTGATTACAAAGATGGTAAAGAAAAAGATGAAATTAAAAATAAATAAAATGTGTATACATTAATAAGAGGAAAGTTCTATCAAACAATATAATTATTAAGCGATTCATTAAACATAAGCGTTATTGATCATCAAAAATAACCAAAGGGCAATAAAAAAATTGATTTATCTTAAAAAGTAAATGAAAATAATTACGATATACCAGCTGTAAATCATTAAAATATATACTTTAAAATAAATAGTTTTTTTATTAAAATTAAAAAGATTATGTACAAATATTTAGTCTTAGATGATAGGTTTGGTGTAGCTATAAGAAAAACAAAGTTTCTTTATATAGAAAGCATATAAGAAAAACTTAAAAGTTATGATTTATTAATGGGAGTTTAGGAAAATATAACAATTGATTAGATTAGAAAAGAAAATCCAAAAAATATAATGATTTCAATAACCGCTTAAGATTATAACTAAAAACATATTTAAGGTACTAGTGAAAAAATAAAATAGAATTTCGAAAAATTTATAGAAATGTTTAGTAGTAAATTAATTGAAACTTTAAAGAAAAATAAATATTATAATGAAAATCAAGTATAAATAAAATATAATCCTTAGCTTGGTTTAATTCAGTAATAATAAATATAAGAAAATAAAGTTGAAACTTAAAAAGATAATTAAAAAGAATAAAATATTTTTTAGGAAATATTAATTTCTTCAGAATGCTTTGCTAATGAAGATACTATTAATCCTTTAGATTTTTTCATAATTTAGTTTTAAAAAGAATGGAATATAGAAACAAATTATAATATAGTAATCATTTTTTAATTAATAAATATATATTATTATTATTTTTAGAATATTTATTGGATAAGTTTTCCTACAAAACTTATTTAATATTTCGTTTCTGAATCTATAGGAGATTTAGTTAAAAAAAATAGTCTTCAGTTTAAATATGTGCATAGCTTGAACTTCTAAATTCATTAAAAATCCTGTTTTGATCATTTTATTCCTATGAAAGTTTAATGCTTATAATCTTTATAAAAAATAAGATAATTTATTTTGAATGATTTACATTTTTTAAACGATGCTATTTAAGTTGATTCTTATATACATTATAAAGGAATTGCTTAGATTAAAATTTAGATTTAAGTAAAAAAAATTAAATTGATTTAAAATTAAAAAATTATTTTATTTTAAAAAGGATTTGTATGTTTTGCTAAAAGAAAATTCAGAAAATAATTTTGATAGTGATTAATAAGAATTTAGATTACTATAATTTTAAATTTAAAATAAAATTATAGAATTAGAAAGTTAGAACTAAATAACTAACATTATCTGAAAATATATGTTTTATATTATTTATATTTATAATTAAAAAATTATATAAATCATATAGTTTTATTCATTATAATTATTTTTTATTTATAAAAGCCGAAAAAATATTAAGTTAAAATTAATTATATAAAAAAATATTTTAATTATTAATACTTTTTTATAAAAAAAAAAAGATAAATTAAATATAAAAAAAATTCTATATATAATGGGTAAATTTTTTATAATAATATATGTTTTCATACATCTATAAAATTATATTTTACAAAAAAAGGTCGTATGCACGGTACTTTAGCTAAGGCTGGTAAAGTATGAAATTATATATGAAAAAAAAAAGCAATTTAATTGAATACATAAAAAAATATTTTTTGTAAATTGAATAAAGGTTAGAAAATAAACTCCAAAAGTTGATAAAAAGTAAAGAGCCAAAAAAATTCCAAAAGGAAGAGCTTAAAAAAGAATTATATATTCAAGAAGATATGCTCCACACATTTTAGCAGTTGATCCCAAGAAAAGAAAGAGTCCTAACTGGCACGCTGGTAGAAAAGACTTAATCGAAGGAGCTGCTGCTGCCGCTAAAAAATGATAATGTGATAGTTATAAATGAATTATTTTTATTTTTAAAAATTTTATTTATATAAAATTTTTTATTAAAATATAAAAATTATTTAAATATTTCATTTTTTTTTTATAAATTTATATATTATTCTTTAATTGATTTTATTAAGTTTATAAAATTGATTTATTCGAAAATCATTTATAATATATTAATATCTAGAATAATTATCTTATTTAAATAACTAAAAATAAAAAATATTTTATCGCATAATAAAAAATTAATATAAAATTTATAAATTATAAAATTACATGTATTATAATTTCTTTTATATTAATTATTTTTTTATTTATTTTAAATTAAATTAAATATTTTTAATATTTCTAAATACTATTATTAATTAAAATATATTTTTTTTTAAATAAAAAGTAATATCAATTTTTTTAAAAACATATATATATGGTTTAATTAATCTATAAAATTATATAAGAGTATATAAATGAGAAAAAAATTAATATAAAAAAAATGAAAAAATAAATCTAATAATAAAAAATATTTATATTAAAAAAAATTTTATATTATAATTTTCCAAAAGTTAATATACATTTTATAATAATTATCAAAATCTAAAAATCTAAAAATCATTTATAAATTATTATATTTACAAATAATATATTAAATATATATAATCAATATTTTATTTATTATTACAATTTTTTTTTTGAAATTAGAATAATATATTATTATATTTAACACATCAAATTATTATATTTTTTTATTAATTAATATAAAATATTTCTCATTTAAATTATTTATTTAGAAATATGATTTTTTTTATAGCAAAGATAATTAAATTTCAATATTTTTATTTATTTGCAATTTTATTTTATTTATTAAATTATTGTTATCTTTTCAAAAAATAAAAAAAGTTATATTTTTTTAAAAGAAATTTTATAGTATTAACAAAAGAAATATAATTTTAAATTTTGTTATATTTTATTGTTATATAAATAAAAGAAGAAAAAAAAACTTAAATAATAAATAAAATAAATTATATATTAAAATAAAAAAAAAGAAGAAAGACTAAAAAAAATGATTTCTTCAAAATTCTCAAAAAGAATAGGATGGATGAAATAAGTAATATGTGACTGTCTTCAAATAAAGGATGTGATAATCGAAGTAAACATAAATAAATATAAATTTATTTTAACCAATATAAAATAAAATAAAAATTAAATATTTTTTTTTAAAAAATAGGATTGTTTATCTCATGATAGAAATAGACTTTTATTAGAAGGGTTTTTAACCGGAGAAGGTTCAGATAAGATATTTGCATACTATTAAATTCAAGAATAAACCCAAAACGACGATATAAAAGATAATGGTCAGCAAGATCCTGTATTATTCTTAACAACAGGAGACTAAGAGAAAATCCTTGAAAAAGCAGTCTGGTTTTTGCGTGTATTTTCTCCTGCTGATGACAAAAAGAAAACGCAAAATAATGAAGTATCTAATGACAACGATATAATATTCGGAGAAATAACTCCCAATACTATTCCTATGTTAAATGCATTAATGGAAGGAGTATACAATCCCCAAGTAGAATTCCTAAGAAGCGAAAAAACATAATTTTGGGGTGTTTCTGAAGAAGAAGCTATCTCAGAATTCTGCAATCACTCTAATAAATTCGGAAATGAAGTCCGTGAATCTATAAAATTAATGAGCCCAGGTACTGAATTATTTAAATTGGACCCTGAAGAAATGGCTAATTTCAACTCATCGTCTTCCGAAGCAGAAAAAATGTAATATTATGAACAAAAGTTCACTTCATGGATTTCTCACATTAATTCTCTACTAAATGACGACTAAGTTGTCAGAAATGAAAGCCCAGATGCTGGCCCTTCAACTGAATTAGAATATTGGAGGAATAGAATGTAAAAAATAACTAATTGGTCAGAATAACTAAAAAGTAAAGATTTCCAAATTGTCAAAGTTAATTTATAAAGACTTAAATAGCATGATAGTTAAAGACCAAGAGGCGATGAGACTATCTCTAAATTGATGATGGATTACAACAGATTGGATTTACTTTTAACTGACAAGTTAAATGAAGCTAAAGATAATGTCAAGTATTTGACGACTTTGGAAAAATTTATTGAACCTCTATATAAAGGAACTCCTTAATAGATTATTGATACTCTCCCTGCTCTTATGAATGCGATTAAAATGATACATACTATTGCTCGTTTTTATAACACTTCTGATAAAATGACTGGATTATTCATCAAAATTACCAACTAAATGATCAAAAATTGTAAAGATAGAATCCTTAAGGTCAATAACCCAGGCGAAGGTGGAAGATTTAATCCTTAGAAGATTTGGGATTAAGACCCTGCTGAATTAATAGAAGTTTTGGGATCATGTATTAAACTTTATAGAGAATATAAGACTTGCTATATTGAAACTAAAGATAAAATTGCTGATATGCCTAAAGGAAAGGCCTTTGATTTTTCAGAAACTTAGATTTTTGGGAAATTTGATGCTTTTGTGAGAAGATTATAAAAATTAATTGACATTTTTTCAAATATTTAATAATTCTAAGCTCTTGCGAAACACAATTTGGAAGGAATGGATGAACTTACAAACGAGTTTAATTAAATAATAGAAAATTTCAAAAAAATAGACATGATTTGTTAGATACTAATAGTAATAAATTCGATAGGGATTGGGTAGAATTCAATGTTGATATTTCTCATTTAGATACTAAATTATAGAATTTTATTGATAGTAATTTCAATAGAATTAAGAAAATAGAATATTCTTTAAGACTTTTGCATAAATTCTAAACTACTATTAAAAGAGATTCCCTTAAACATAATTTGTAGACCCGTTACAATGCTATTTTGCATACTTATGCTACTGAATTAGACGAAATTTAAAGAATTTTCTAAGATTAAAAAACTAATCCTCCTTTGGTAAGAAATATGCCTCCTGAGGCTGGTAAGATTATTTGGGTAAGACACTTATTCTAGAAAATAACAGGTCCTATTAATATTTTTCCTGATACTGTTATGTCATCTCCTGAAATAAAAAAATATTATGGTTCATATAATACTTTGGGAAAATAATTAACTATCTATGAAATGTGGTTTTACCAAGATTGGGTTAACAAAATCGAATCTTCAAAAGCCGCTTTATAAGCAACTTTAATTGTAAGGCATGACGAAAACAAAAAGTTATATGTAAATTTTGATTTAGAAATCATGCAATTGATTAGAGAAGCGAAATGCTTGGACAGATAAGGAATAGAAATTCCTGAAAGTGCGAGAATCATTCTTTTATAAGAAGAAAAATTCAAAACTTATTACAATGAATTATTTTATGCTTTAAAAGAATACGAAAGAATCAACTCAAAAATAAAACCTATTTGCAAAAATTTATTACTTCCTCATATTGAGGATTTGGATTTGAAATTAAGACCCGGTATGGTTACACTTACTTGGACTTCAATGAACATTGAGAGTTATTTATATCATGTACACTAAGGTTTGAATAAATTGGAATAATTAATTATTAATGTAAATGATATTATCGAAAATAGAATTGAAAATAACCTCAAAACTGTTTCCAAAGTAGTTTTAGTGAAACTTCCTTAAGACACAAAACCCCTTTCCTTAGATTATTTCGTCACAATGTAAGAAGAATATATTAATGAATAAACTAATTTTTTGATTTCGAAAAACGTAGAAGTAGAAAGAGCTGTAGATGATCTCCTTTAGACTATAATGTTATATCCTTTAGATCCTCATGTAGATCCTGTTTTACCAGAAGAAACTAAAAAAATTAAAAGATATTACTTTTGGTATTTCTATTAGGCACTTTTGAATTCTACTTAAAACTCTCTTAATGCTATGAAATATAGAGTATGTGGAAAGAAAATCCCAGGTGCTAATACTTTACAAAACTTGAAACCTTTCTTTGAAGTCGATGTCTAATTGTAAGGAGAAAAAGTTACTTTGAATCCTTCTCTTTCTGAAATTTAAAAAAGTATTAATAAAGCAGCCACTGCAGTGCTTAAATGTTCCAAATAACTATATAATTGGGACTAATAAAGTAAGGAATAAAACGATAAGTAAACTTTTTATGATATGATTGCTTAAGATAAAGAAATTGTGAAAGTTATCTTGCTACTTACTGGTTCTATTTAGGGAACTAAAAACAAAGTAAATGAATTTTTGTCAGAATTCACAAAATTTGAATGGTTGTGTAAGGAAAATATTCAAGAATCAATTAAAAAATTCTCTAAAAATGGGCCTACCCTTCAAAATTATGAAGATTAATTAAAAAAGTTTTCTTAAATAGAAGAAGATATAGAAAAAATAGTTCCGACTTATAAAATAGGAGCCATGGAATTGAAAACAAACAATATTAAAACTTCACTAAATACATAAGCCAAAGAATGGAAATTATAATATTCTTAAGACTTACATAAAAAAGCTCGTACATAGCTCGATTAATTAACTGAACAAACAAAAATGCTTTAAACTAAATTATCTAAATAGGTAAAAGATATTGATTCTTTAGGTTACGTAATGGAAACCTTAGAATAAATAAGAAAAGAATAAGCTGAAATAGAAATGAAATTTAATCCGGTTTAAGAAATGTACTCTTTACTTGATAATTATTTACCAGGTGGTATTACTGATAAAGATGAAATGGATGCTCGTTCAATGTTAAGATCCAATTGGGATTTATTGATAAGTTAAGCTGAAATTAAAGGAAAGGAATATTAATAAAAATAAGCTATTTATTTAAAAGATTTGAAATAATCTATTAAAGAATTCATCTAATAAGTAGTTTAGTTCAGAAAGGATTATGAGAAAAATGGACCTATGGTTGAAGGAATTACTCCTGCAGAAGCTATGGAAAGATTAAGAAGATTTTAGGAAGAATACAGTGTAAAGAACGAAATTTTTAAAATTAATGCTAGAGGTGAAAACTTATTCGGTTTGTAAAACTAAAAATATCCTGAATTGGAAAAGACTGATGCCGAAATTAAAAATTTAAATAAACTCTATAGCTTATATGATACTGTTATTAAAAACATTTAAACTTTTAAAGAAAAAACTTGGTTAGAAATCACTAAGGAAGAACTAGTTGCAATGGAGGAAAATAGTGTTAAATATGCCGATTCATGTATTCGTTTACCCAAAGATTTGAGAGAATGGTAAGCGTATAAAGACTTAAAGACATATATTGATAATTTAAAAGAATAATTGCCCTTAATTATTGATTTGAAAAAACCTTCTATTATGGCTAGACATTGGGAAAAAGTATGTGAAATAACCCGTACTAAGTTAAATTATGAAAATCCTGAATAATTCTATATTGATGATATCTTGAATGCTAATTTATTGTAACATTAAGAAGATGTCCAAGATATCACAGAATCTGCTGATAAACAAATGAAAATTAGATCCAATTTAGATGAAATATAAATTTTTTGGAACGATGCAGTCTTCGAATTCGGACATTGGGCAAAAAGAGAATAACCATGTATATTAAATGGAATTATTGTAGGTAATATTTTGGAAAGATTAGATGAAGATTAAATGACTTTGGCTACATTGAATGCTTAAAGACACGTAACTCCTTTCAAGAAAGAAGTAGAAGATTATATTAGGTAATTTTCGGATGTTAATGATACTTTAGATATGTGGATTAAAGTATAAAAATTGTGGACTTCTTTGGAACCCGTGTTTACTGGTGGTGATATTGCAAGATAAATGCCTTTACAAGCTAAATAATTTTAAGGTATAGATAAAAACTGGATGAAGATTATGGAAAAGGCTTACGAAACTAAAAAAGTAGTAGCTTGCTGTTAAAATGATATGTTGAAAGATTTCCTTCCGGACTTGAATAGAAAATTGGAAGAGTATTAAAAAATGTTAGAAGATTATCTTGAAGGAAAAAGAAAGAAATTCCCTAGATTTTATTTTGTATCTAACCCTACTTTATTAAAAATCCTTTCCCAAGGTTCTGAACCTACTTCCATTTAGGAGGATTTTGAAAAGCTTTTCGATGCGATTACTAAGGTCACCTTTGAAAAATCACAAGATAAGAAAAATGCATCTCTTAAATGTATCACTGCAATTACTTAGGTTATGGGATCTTCAGAGGAAACAATTGCTTTAACTAATTATGCGGTTAAATGTGAAGGAAATATTGAAGATTGGCTGCTTAAATTGGAATCTAGTATGTAATAATAATTAAGAGACATTACCAGAACTTCAGCTTAATAAGTATTCTAGACTGAATTAAAGAATTATGTAAAAGCATGGCCTTCTTAAATTTCTTTACTTGGTTTATAAATTTTATGGACTTCTAAGGTGAATGAAGGTTTGGAAAGACTTTCTAGGAACGAAAGAAATGCAATGGAAGCTAAAAGAAATGAAATTAAAGAACACATGACTTTGTTATCTTCTATGTGTTTAGAAGACATTAAATCAAGTGTTGAAAGAATGAAAATTGAAACGCTTGTAACAATATAGGTACATTAAAAAGATATTGCCGTAGAACTAAAATGTAAAGACATAAACGATTTTGAATGGTAAAAGTAAACAAGAATTGCATGGAAAAACGATGTTGATGATTGTGTTATTTCCATAACAAATTGGGATACTTCATACTCATATGAATTTTAGGAGCGAAAGAAAGACTTTGTGTAACTCCCCTAACAGATAGATGTTACATTACATTGGCCTAAGCTATGTCTATGTATTATGGAGGTGCTCCCGCAGGACCTGCAGGAACAGGAAAAACTGAAACAGTGAAAGATTTGGGAAGAACTATGGTGTGTATGTCGTTGTTACTAACTGTTCAGATTAACACAGATACAGAGACATGGCTAAGATTTTTAAAGGATTAGTATAAAGTGGCCTTTGGGGTTGTTTTGATGAGTTTAATAGAATTGATTTGGAAGTACTTTCTGTCGTGGCAATGCAAGTCGAGTCAATTACAACTGCTAGAAAATAGCATTTGAATCATTTTATGTTCCCAGAAGAAGAACATCCTATTTTGCTTATTAAAAGTGTTTCTTATTTCATTACTATGAACCCTGGTTATGCTGGAAGACAAGAATTGCCTGAAAATTTGAAAGTACTTTTTAGAGGTGTATCTATGATGGTTCCCGATAGAGAAATTATTATTAAGGTTAAGTTGGCTTCTGTAGGTTATAATACAATTGATACATTATCTAAGAAATTTAATGTCTTGTATAGATTATGTGAAGAATAATTATCTAAACAAAGACATTATGATTTTGGTTTAAGAAATATTCTATCAGTACTAAGAACTGCTGGTAATACTAAAAGAGAAGAACTCAAATCAGAAGAAGATATGCTTCTTATGAGATCTTTAAGAGATATGAATTTATCTAAACTTGTAGCTGATGATATTCCATTATTTAATGGACTTTTGGCAGATATTTTCCCTAAATTAAAGGAAGTACCTAAAAAAACATATCCTGAAGTGGAAAAGAAGATTCCCGAAATAATTGCTTAAAGGAGTGATTTAATAAATACTCCTTCTTTCTAACTTAAGATTATTCAACTTTACGAAACATGTGTTGTCAGACACGGTTATATGCTTGTAGGGCCTACTGGATCAGGTAAAACAACAATTATGTATATTTTAACAGAAGTACTGTCATAAATTATTGCACAACATAGAATTGTAAAGATGAATCCTAAAGCCATTACTGCTGAACAGATGTATGGTGTTAAATCTGAAATTTCAGATGATTGGATTCCTGGTGTGTTTTCTACTTTATGGTCTAAATCAAATAATAGAGCTTTAAAACATCATACATGGCTTACTTGTGATGGTCCCGTCGATGCTATTTGGATTGAAAATTTAAATACAGTACTTGATGATAACAAAATTTTAACTTTAGCTAATGGTGAACGTATTGCTATGACTGAAAATTGTAAATTAGTTTTTGAAGTCGAAAATTTAAATAATGCTTCACCTGCTACAGTATCTAGGTGTGGTTAGGTTTATGTTTCTCCTACTGATTTAGGCTATGATGCTGTTATTGAAGGATGGATAAAGAATAGATCCAAAACCAGAGAAGCTGAGTCTAATATTTTAGGTAATTTGCTCAAAAAATATTTGATTTAATAAAGATTTATTGAAAACTAAGCCAAAATTTGTAAAGAGTAAACCATGCCTTTATCATCTGTTATCTAAGTTGGAAATATTTTGAATTTAATAACTGGTGCTCTATAACCTTACGTTTAATAATCCAAAACTCTTACAGAAGTTGAATATGAGAGATTCCTTGTTTTCGCTATTGCTTGGGCTGTAGGAGGTATTTATGAAGCTGGAGACAGAATTCTTTTCCATTAATTATTATTATAAAAGAATGCACCTGTTCCTTAAAAAGGTAAAGATAAAGAAACTGTATTTGATTATTTCGTTAATTAAGATTATTGCGATTGGAAATTATGTACACCTGAAGAATGGGTTCCTCCAGAGAGAGGTCTTTAATTTTCTCAACTTTTGTTACCTACATTAGATTCTTTTAGAGCAGAACTTTTACTTGACTTGGTTTTGAAATAACCCAAGAGTTCTTTATGTAGTAACTCTTGTTTACTTATTGGAGGTTCTGGCACAGCTAAAACATCATCTGTCTTATTATATTGTGCGAAATTTAATAAGGAAAAAATGCTTTTCAAAAGAACTAACTTTTCATCTGCTACTTCTCCGTTTATGTTTTAATCGACTATCGAAGGAGAATGCGACTTCAAAGTTGGTAAAGATTTTGCTCCTCCAATGAACAAAATGATGACTATTTTTATTGATGACATGAGTATGCCTTATGTAAATAAATGGGGTGATTAAATTACCTTAGAAATTGTTAGATAATTAGTCGAATAGGGAGGTTTCTACATGTTAGATAAAACTCAAAGAGGTAACTTTAAGAATATTAAGAATTTACAATATATTGGTGCTATGAATCATCCTGGAGGTGGTAGAAATGACATCCCTAATAGATTAAAAAGATAATTTTTTATTTTTAATATGATTTTGCCCCTTTCTATTGAAACTATTTATGGACCTATTATTAAGCATATGTTCAAACAAAAATATTTCACTGAATAAACTTTTAAAATTATTGAATCTTTAACTGCGGCCACCATTTCTTTATGGAATAAAGTTAAATAAACAATGTTACCTACCCCAGCTAAATTTCATTATGTATTCAACATGAGAGAGCTATCCAGAATTTTCAAAGGAATTCTTACATGTAAAAAAGATACAATTAATGAATCTTAAAAATAAATTAAAATGAAACCTGAATTATTCGTTGTAGGTTTATGGAGGCATGAAGCCGAAAGAGTGCTTTCAGATAAATTAGTAAATTAAAAAGATAAAGACATTGTACTTGGCTTTATTCAAGAAGTTTCTTTAGAAAACTTCTCTTAATTGGAAAATGAAATTTAGGACAAATTTAGTTCGGAAAAAATATTTCTTTTCTGTGATTTCTTACGTGCTGATATTATAAATGAAGACGGTATTGTAGAAGAAGAAGCGCCTAAAATTTATGAAGCGTAGGATAATTTACCAGAATTGAAAAAAAGATGTAATTTCTTACTTGATTACTATAATGAGAAAAATCCCTCTAAAAAAATGTAACTTGTGCTTTTTGATGATGCACTTAGACATTTACTAAGAGTTTCTCGTATTATAAGATAGCCTCGTTCAAACGGTTTGCTTGTAGGTGTAGGAGGTTCCGGAAAGTAGTCTTTGACAAGATTAGCAGCATTTATTGGCAAAAACTTAATCCAATAAATTATTGTGACAAAAACTTATGCTGAAAAAGATTTGAAAGAAGACATTAAATTAGGTTTTGATCAAGCAGGACATTTAGGAAAATAAGTTACTTTCTTAATGACTGATTCTGAAGTAAAAAAAGAGGAATTCCTTGAATATATTAATATGGTCTTAAGTACTGGTGAAATTCCCAATTTACTTCAAAAAGACGAGAGAGAAGTGTGGTTAGGAGACATAACTTAAGAATATACAAAAGAAAAAAATCTTGGGAACGTAGATGTTCCAGCAAGTGACTTATGGAACTATTTCGTAGACCGTGTAAGAGATAACTTCCATATTATGTTGTGTTTCTCACCTGTAGGTTAGAAATTCAGAGATAGAGCTCGTAAATTCCCTGCTCTTTTCAATGAATGCACTATCGACTGGTTTTTGCCTTGGCCTGAAGAGGCTCTTGTTTCTGTAGCTGAAACTTTCATTAAAAATTTCAAAAAACTCGAAACTAAAGATGAAACTAAGCTTTAACTTATGAAACATATGGGTAATGTGCACTTAATGGTTAATGAAATTTGCGATGAATATTATTAAAAAATGAGAAGATAAGTGTATGTCACACCCAAGTCTTTCCTTTCCTATTTGAATTCTTATAAAACTTTATATATTCAAAAATACGATGAATTAGATTAATAAGAAGAGTCTTTCAAAATTGGTCTTAAGAAAATCTAAGAAGCTACTACTTCTATTAACATTATGGAAATCGCCTTGAAAGATGAAGAAGTTTAACTTATGGAATCTACTGAAAAGACAAATATACTTATTGCAAACTTAGAAAAAGAATAAAAGAAAGCTAATCAAAAGCAAGAAGAAGTCGAAGCTACGTCTAAATAGTGTTAAGGTCAAAAAGAAAAAATCCAAATCGAGAAAGCTGAAGCAGAAAAAGAACTCGAAGCTGCTATGCCTGCTTTAAGAAGAGCTTAAGATGCTGTCGATAGTATTTCAAGTTCTGATATTGTAGAAATTAAATCGAATAAAAATCCTTTAGAAATTATTAAATATATTATGGACAGTGTTTTAGTCTTTTTCAAAGCCAAATTACTTCCTATCACTATTGAAGATAGAATCTTTAATAAAAAAGAAGGAAAAATTGTTCCATTCTTAAAAGAATCTTGGGAATTATCTGGAAAATAAACTCTTTATGATATGAATTTTATGAAATCATTAAAAGAATTTGAAAAAGATTAAATCAACGAAGAAACTATGGAACTCTTAGAACCCTATACCAATTGTTGTGATGATTGGTTTAATGAAGCAACTGCTTCTAAAGCTTCTAAAGCCGCTAATGGTATATTAAAATGGGCTTTGGCTATTAATGAATATCATTTAAAATCTAAAATCGTAAAACCAAAAAGAGAATAAGTGTAAATTGCAGAAGGAAGACTAGCTATTGCTGTTAAAGAATTGGAAAAAGCTTAAGCTGATGTAGCTTAAATAAATGCTGAAATTACAGCTTTGAAGGAAAAATTCGGTAAATAAATGGAAGAAAAAAATGAATTAGAAATGAAAGCTTCCAAAACAAAGAAAAAAATTAACACTGCTAGAACTTTAATTACATCTCTTTCAGGAGAAAAGGAAAGATGGAGCAAAGGACAATAAGAAATCGCTGACTAAAAATTCAAATTAGTCGGAAATGTATCTCTTGCTACTGCCTTTATTTCCTATTGTGGACCTTTCAATGCCGAATTCCGACACAAATTAGCCTAAATTAAATTTGTTGGGGATATGAAGAAAAAAGAAGTCCCAGTTACTTAAGGTTTAGAATTGACTTCTTTCCTTATTGACTCTGCAACTATTGGAGAATGGAATTTGTAAGGTTTACCAAAAGATGATTTATCTATTTAAAACGGTATTATGGTTACTAATTCTACTAGGTATCCTTTGTTTATTGATCCTTAAGGATAAGGTCAATTTTGGATAAAAAATAAATTTACAAAATCTATTGAACCTGCTAGATGTATTACAACTCTTAACCATCCTAAATTTAAAGATATGTTCTTGAAATATTGTATGGAAGATGGTAAAACTCTTATTATTGAAAATATCGAAAATGAAGTTGATCCTATGTTAGATCCTGTTTTAGAAAAGCAAGTAATTGTAAAAGGGAAAACATAAATTATCAATGTAGGAGGAACAGAAATTGAATTCCATAAAGAGTTCAGACTTTTCATGACTTGCAGGCTTGCAAATCCTTCTTTCTCTCCCGAATTATCTGCCAAAACCACTATTATTGACTTCACAGTCACTCGTTCTGGTTTAGAACAACAATTATTAGGAAAAGTTATTTCTAAAGAATAAAAAGCACTTGAAGATTCCCTTAATTAACTTCTCGCTGATGTCAACCAAAACTAAAAGGATTTATAAAGACTAGATAAAAATTTACTCGAACGTCTTATCAATTCTCAAGGTAACTTATTAGATGATACTGAATTGATGGATGTGTTGAATAACACAAAAACCCAAGCTAAAGAAGTTGCCGCAAAACTAATAGATGCTGAAATAAAACAAAAGAAATTAATGAAAAAAGAGAATAATATAGACCTGTAGCTATTAGAGGCTCTTCTATTTATTTCACCATTATAGAAGTATCTTTGGTAAATTGGATGTATAATTCTTCTCTTGAATAATTTCTTAAACTTTTTATTGAATCTATCGATTTATCTGAAAAAGCATAACTTCCTTCTAATAGAGTTAAAAATATTATTACTTTTTTAACTTTCCATGTCTATAAATACATCAATAGAGGACTTTTTGAAAAGGACAAAATCACATTTATTTTAATGATGACCTTTAAAATAATGACCACTTCAGGAACTATAAGCGGAAATGATGTTTCTCTTTTCTTAAAATCAGGAGATGCACTCGATATTAAAACTGAACGATAAAAACCACTTGCTTATTTAAAAGATAAATAATGGTTGAATATTTTAGCTCTTTCTAAACATACTTTTTCGGGATAAACAGTTCCTTTCTTTAGAGAACTTCCTGATTTGATAACTAGAAGTGAATAATAATGGAGATAATGGATTGAAAAAAATGATCCTGAAAACTTCGCTATACCTGACTTTGCCGAAAGTATTTCTTAAGAAAAGGAACTTGGACCTTTCATTACTTTGTGTTTGGTTAGATCTCTTAGAGATGATAGAACTTTAGTCGGAACTTAATAATTTATTGGATCAACTTTAGGCAAAGAATTTACTGATCCTATTTCTTATCCTATAGAAACTATTTGGGCAGAATCTTCTAATTTAGATCCTGTTTTGTTCTTATTATCAGCAGGTGCTGATCCTACAAGTTCAATTGATGAACTTGCCAAAAAGAAAAAGAAATTCCCTTGCGAAAAAGTATCTATGGGAGAAGGACAAGAAAAGGTAGCAAGAATTTCTATGCAAAAAGGTTTCGAAACTGGTGGATGGATTATTTTATAAAACTGTCATTTAGGTTTAAAATTTATGGAAGAAATAGAAACTTTAGTTGTTCCTTCAAACAATATTCATCCCGATTTCCGTTTATGGATTACTTGTGAGCAACATCCTAAATTCCCTCTAGGTTTGCTCTAAAAAACCTTAAAAGTAACAAATGAACCCCCTAAAGGTCTAAAAGCTGGTTTATATAAAACATTCACAACAATAATAACTTAAGAGTTCATAGATAAAGTAGATCATAATAACTGGAGATCTTTAATATTTACTGTTTGCTTCTTACATTCGATTGTTATTGAAAGAAAGAAATTTGGTCCTTTAGGATGGTGTATTCCTTATGAATATAATTATTCAGATTTAGAAGCATCTCTGCTTTATATTGAAAAATATTTAACGAATCTCATGAGTACTCCTCAAACTAACAACAACTACGCACTTCCTATTTCCATGAACGTCATCAGATATATGATTTGTGAAGTTTAATACGGAGGAAGAATTACAGACGATCTCGATCGTGAGCTTTTTAATACATACGGAGAAGCCTATTTAAAAGAAGGAATATTCGGAAATGACTATTTCTTTTATGATATTTTAGTTGATGGTGCTGGATAGAAATTCAAATACAGAATTCCTTAAAACTAATCTGCAGAGCTTTCAAAATATACTGATTATATTTAAAAAGTCCCCACAGTTGATAATCCTGAAGTTTTTGGTTTACATCCAAACGCTGATTTAACTTTCAGATTAAAAGAAAGCAATGAAATGATTGCCACAGTAATGGAAACTCAACCCAAAGATTCCATGGGTGGTGGAGGAAAAACACGTGAAGAAATAGTACAAGATAAAGCTAAAGAAATGTTAAATAAACTTCCACCTGACTATATTGATGGTGAGGTTAGAGAAAAAGTAGGAAAACTAGCAGGTCCTAATCGTAAAAATACAGCAGAAAGAGGAATGACTATTCCTTTAAATATTTTCCTTTATTAAGAACTTGCACGTATTTAAAGGGTCATAGCTCTTGTAAGAAAGACATTATAAGATACTATATTTGCTATTGATGGTACTATTATTATGACTCCTGATATTTTAGATGCTATTAATTCTATTTTTGATGCTAAAGTACCTAATACATGGCTTTATGATCCTTCAGGAGCTGAAATTTCTTGGATTTTGCCCACTTTGGGTTCGTGGTCTGCTTCTTTAGTTGACAGAAACAAATAACTTAATGACTGGTTAATTAATGATAGACCTAATAGTTATTGGCTTACAGGATTCTTTAATCCTTAAGGTTTTCTTACAGCAATGAAATAAGAAGTAACTAGAAATCACAAGAAAGGAGATGGCAAAGGAGGAGAAGCATGGTCTTTGGATGATGTTGTTTACTCTACAACTGTAAAAGAAAAAGATACTGACTAATAACCTGCAGAAGGTGTTTATGTACATGGTTTGTATCTTGAAGGATGTAAATGGAGCAGAAATGGATTAGAAGATAGTGATCCTAAATAAATATTCGCTCCTTTACCAACTTTACATGTATCGGCTATTAATAAGAAAAAGCCTACAGAATAAGATAGGATTTCTAATACTTATATGTGCCCTGTATATAAATATCCGAAGAGAACCGATAAGTATTTAATCTTTAGAGTCGGATTACCTTGTGAAGGATAAAATAATCCTTAACACTGGAAATTAAGAGGTGTTGCTTTATTATGCTCTACTGAATGATGATGTTATAGTTTTTTAATATATATTAAAAAAAATAAAAAAAGCTGATATAATTTTTTTTTATTTTTTATAAATAAATAATATATATAAAAATTCTTTGTGTTTGTTTTAATATAATTATAGTATATATATATATATAAATAAACATATCTATAAAAAGTGATTAATATAAAATAATTATTTTATATTTTTATTTTATCATCTATTATTAAATTATATTCATTCTTATATATCTTTTTTAATTATTTGATTCCTTATATCATCAAAAAAATTATGTTGAAGAGCTTCATTTGCACTTATTCTTTCAGCCTTATTCATTTTTTAAAATTTATAAATATTTTTTTTTTAGATAATTATTTATAATTTTACGGGATTTATTTTTAAAAGTTATCTAAGAAGATTTAAAGCAGATATTTCTATAGTTTTGTTGGGATTATTTGAATTATATAATTTAAATTATTTTTTTAATCCGTCATTTTATTTTTTAATTTTATTTTCTTTTAAGAAATTATATATTGAAGAATCAATATTTATATTCATTAAATTGGATAGTTAAAATATTTATTTGTATCCAAAAAATTCCAGCATTTATTATAATACATCTAAATTTTATAACTTTCCTTTTTATTTAGGTACAATTAATCTTACATTAAATAACTAAAATAATATAAAAATATTTTTTTTAATTATTTATTTCAATACCATACTGTATATAACTGCACCTGCAGACCATACATCAATAGCAGGCGTAAAAAAATATTTAAAAGATTCTCTTAATACCATTTCAGGAGACTTTGTATGAATAGTTCCAACCTAAAAATAATTTTTTACAAAATATTTTGATAAAAAACATTACTTTATTTAAGATCTTTTCAAACGAATAATAAAAATCTGAAACTCCCCAGTCAATTAAATTAAATTTTCTTTATTTAATATTTACAATTATATTTAATCCTTTTATGTCCCTATGAAAAATACCTACATTATGAGATTCGGAAACAGCCTTTATTAAATTTTAAAAGTATATTTATTTATTTATTAATTATTGATACTTCTAATAACAAATATGAATAATATTTAACTAAATCATAATTTAATTTGTTTAATACTTAATTTAAATTAACTCCTTTTATATATTCAAATATCTTTTTAAATTAATTTCTTTTTATTAAATTAAAAATAAAAAAAGTACTAAGCAAGGTACTTTGAGTTAAGGGTCTTCTGTAACATCTAATAAATGTGCAATATTCTTAACTTAATTTATATGTTTTAATATATTTATTTCCTTAAAAAGCTTATTTTCTGTAGTTGGCTTAAGAATTTTTATAACAACTGCTTAATTGCTTTTAGTTTAATCGTATCCTAAATATACATCGGAAAATTTACCTTGACCTAATTTTTTTCCGACTAAATATTTATCTTAATTCCTTTTAAGATTAGAAAATTTTAATAAATAGTATATATTATTTAGCTGATATATTAAAATATATTATTTACGTTTTATAAACATTAAAATTTGTAAAGTTTTTATTTTTTTCATAATTATCATTATTTAATGTATAATTTATATTTTTAGCTAATTAAAAATTAATTTATATTCCACAACAATAACATTTTTATTCAGTCAAATATTCAAATATATCTAATTTTAATAATCTAAAATTTTAGCAAGAAATAATAGTAAAATATAAAAATATCCAAATAACAGTATTAATCATAATTTTTTAAAAAAATTATTTAATAAAATATCTAAAATATATATTAATAAATACAAATTAAAAAAACAAATAAATATAAAAACTAAATAATATATTTTTATAATTTTAAAAAAATATATATTAATATAAAATTAATAAAATAATATAATATAAACATTTTTAATGTTTATTTATTAATTTAATACTTATTAATTTTGTTAATTTTATTTTTATTTGATAATTAAATAATTTTCTTTGCATTAGGAACAAAAAATTTTTATTCATGATATCCTAAAAACACATTTGCATATTTCATCAAGCAATTCTTTTCATTTTCAATTTTTTCCTAACAAAATTAATTTGAAAAGAAAAATTATAGAAATAACTAAATAAAATAATTTTGCAAAACTACAGTAACTTTATAAAAATACGAATATTTTTTATAATTTTAATCGTATTTTAATATAGTCATTATGATTTTTTGTTTATTTTTCTAAATTTTTAACTTTTACTTTCACTAATTTTTAGTTGATATTATTACATAATTAATAAAAAATTTAATTTAAACAAGATTTGTTAATTTATTTTTCATTAAATCAATTTTTTATAAAAATTATTAGTCTTATATTTTAATATCTTAATTACTCATAAATTTTGATATAACTTTAAAAATTTATATATAAAAACACATTATAATTTATTTATTTAATAATTTTTTATAATAATTGAAGAAAAGAATATTTATTTTCATAAACTATATTTTAAGAAGTTCATAATTCTAAAATTCTAAAAATTTATAAATAATTGATTAAATATTTATAAACTTATTAATTTTATTTTATAAATTAATAATTATTTGATTAATAAATTTATTATTTAATAAATAAAATTATTAATTATTTAAAAATATATATTTGTATTTATTATAAAAATAAATTATTTATAAAATCTTTAATAATTTTATTTATATTTAAATATTTATAAAAAGTAATAATTTATACATAAAAAAAAATTTTAATTTATATATGAAACAAAATTATTTATTTATATAAGAGTATAGATATTTATATTTATATATAAAAATATTTTTATTTTGGTAAACTAATATATTTTACTATTTTTAAAATATTAAAAGAATATTAATACAAATATAAATATTTTTATTTAAATATATATATAGGTATGGGTTTGGGGTTTGGGGTTGGGGTTGGGGTTGGGGTTGGGGTTGGGGTTGGGGTTGGGGTTGGGGTTGGGGTTGGGGTTGGGGTTGGGGTTGGGGT